TAGCTAAACATTGCGTTTAAGATTCGTGACTGTAAAACTGCCCGAATTATTTTGCAGATTTATTGAAATAACGTAAAACAAAGTAGGCATTCGCACTTTCAAAATGACACTTGCAGAGCTCCAAAGACGTTATTCTCGACTCAATTGCCGCCTGCGTTGAATTACAATTTCAAACGTCGTCGTGCTTACCGTGACCTTGTGCGGTCGAAGGCAATAAAGCAGGGAATTTGTTTGGCTGATAAACACGGTTTTTGAGCTGTTCGCTGATTAGCCCCCCGTCCTATTCACCGCCTGGGCTATAAGTGCCCAGGCGGGAAGCCGGCCAGCCACATGCCTTCCCTGACCTCTTGACCCTGGATTTGGCTCAGACCTGTGTTGTGTCAGTCCCCGGTAATCTTGGAAAGTCCTCCTTTACCCATGACCGTTAGTTTAACATGCTCAATCTGAAGATTGGTACATGTACAGTGTTTTTTTTTCCCATTCCACCGCTGGATAAGGGCCTCCGCACGCCAAACGTTTCATGGGAGTTAATTTGACCTTATTTTACCACGCTGGTCAATGCGCCATTGAAGGTGCGGAGCATAGACATGGGGGTGGGGGAATAGATGTACAGTACAACATTGGATGTTGTTGCAATGCCCTCTGTTGTCTATAACGTAGCCCTGCAGGCTATAACACCTGCTTTGCATGGTGGTCACCCATCCAAAAAGTATCCAGGCTCATCTCGGCTTAGCTGATGAGGTTGGGCGCATTCCAAGGGATGGGGTCACACACGAGCTACCGTTGGTAAACAATAATTAGAATACAGGTAGTCCCCGACTTACGATGGTCCCCGACTTACGACACTCCGACCTTACGATGGCGATAGCGATATGACAAAATTGTAAAATATTTTTTTTATTTCGCGCGGCAAGCAAACGCAGCAGCGTACGAGGTACGACACTGTACTTTATAATCGCCATCCTCCTCTTCCGACAACTAAGTTAATGTAGCCATCAACAACCTAGCAAGTACGCAGACGACGGACAGAATCTTGGTGAGGACAGTAGAATATGATACGTTACGATACGTTCATTGCATGTATGATACATAGCTTTAGCGATTTCATTTTAGGGTTACCACGATACGATACATACGTTCAATGCATGTTAAAAGCTTTTTACAGCAGATAGGATTGTTTCCTGAAAAAACTTTCTATGAAATTGCAGTTCATATAGGTAGGCTAAGAATTTACCTTGTTTTTTTACTTTATTTTTTTACTGTGCAATACAGTATTGTAATTAATAAATACATACAGTATATAGTTTATACAGTACGGTATTGTAAATTGCTCTGTTTTGCTAAATTATCACCAGTCTTTAAGACGCATGGGTAGGCTAGGCCATCTTCGACTTACGTAACGCATCTCCATCGTAAGTCGGGGACTACCCTGTATCGTAAGTCGGGGACTACCTGCAACTCAATCCGCTGCTGGCAGAAGTCCTCCCCGGCCATGTCGGTTGTCGATGCTGCCTGACCATACTTCACCATGCAGGTCAGTGCAGGTTGATTTTTTAAATATTATTTTTTTATTTATCACGGCAGGGTGGTGGGTGGTGAGGGGCGAAGGGGGGGGCGTGTGGGTGGTGTCATTCGCCAAGGAAATTGAACTCGGTACGTCAGGTTGAGAGCGACGTGCACACCATCATTCGCCAAGGAAATTGAACTCGGTACGTCAGGTTGAGAGGGACGTGCACACCATCATTCGCCAAGGAAATTGAACTCGGTACGTCAGGTTGAGAGCGACGTGCACACCACGGGGAGCAGTAAGACTCTCTTGATGACACGGATATCGTGCACCTGCCTCTGGCGGGGACAAACTCTACCAGCGAATCCGAGGTGTTATACTGCCGGCGAAATCTACGCAGTGCCGTGAATCACACGTCACGCTCGCACGGCACTTCAACAACGAATCGAGGGGGAGACGATTGCTGCATGGGAAGTTGCGCCGCAATTAGCAAAACAACGTTTTCAGATGTTCCGGTGGCTGATTAAATGCGAATCTTTGCTTTGTTTTCAGAGCCATGTCGTAAGGCAGCTAATTGGGATTTAGAATGCCCTCAGTAAATTATGCCAAGGTCAAGTCTGTAAAAAAAATATTAAAGGAATTGGTAAAAACATAATCCTGATGAACAAGTGTGGTGGAAACTCAGGCTTTCCTGTGTACATAGTTGACATGATACTACCTAACTACCGTGTAGGTTTTTTTTGTTTGTGCTGTATAACTCCTGAAGAAGCTTCCAGCGTGTGGATCGAAACGTCAGACTTCACGGTGAATAATACGTGGTACAACCTAAGGACACTTCAGAGAGCAAGTGACAGGATGGTGGGGGCGAAAGCCTAGAAGCTGTTGTGCAGAGTCTTCAATGGATTCCAGTAACCTCAAACCTCTCCTACCAGTAACCTCAAACCTCTCCTACCAGTAACCTCTCCTACCAGTAACCTCAAACCTCTCCTACCAGTAACCTCTCCTACCAGTAACCTCAAACCTCTCCTACCAGTAACCTCAAACCTCTCCTACCAGTAACCTCAAACCTCTCCTACCAGTAACCTCAAACCTCTCCTACCAGTAACCTCAAACCTCTCCTACCAGTAACCTCAAACCTCTCCTACCAGTAACCTCAAACCTCTCCTACCAGTAACCTCAAACCTCTCCTACCAGTAACCTCAAACCTCTCCTACCAGTAACCTCAAACCTCTCCTACCAGTAACCTCAAACCTCTCCTACCAGTAACCTTAACCTCTCCTACCAGTAACCTCAAACCTCTCCTACCAGTAACCTCAAACCTCTCCTACCAGTAACCTCAAACCTCTCCTACCAGTAACCTCAAACCTCTCCTACCAGTAACCTCAAACCTCTCCTACCAGTAACCTCAAACCTCTCCTACCAGTAACCTCAAACCTCTCCTACCAGTAACCTCAAACCTCTCCTACCAGTAACCTCAAACCTCTCCTACCAGTAACCTCAAACCTCTCCTATCAGTAACCTCAAACCTCTGCTGCCAGTAACCTCAAACCTCTCCTATCAGTAACCTCAAACCTCTGCTGCCAGTAACCTCAAACCTCTCCTACCAGTAACCTCAAACCTCTCCTGCCAGTAACCTCAAACCTCTCCTGCCAGTAACCTCAAACCTCTCCTACCAGTAACCTCAAACCTCTCCTACCAGTAACCTCAAACCTCTCCTATCAGTAACCTCAAACCTCTGCTGCCAGTAACCTCAAACCTCTCCTACCAGTAACCTCAAACCTCTCCTACCAGTAACCTCAAACCTCTTCTACCAGTAACCTCAAACCTCTCCTATCAGTAACCTCAAACCTCTCCTACCAGTAACCTCAAACCTCTCCTACCAGTAACCTCTCCTACCAGTAACCTCAACCTCTCCTACCAGTAACCTCAAACCTCTCCTATCAGTAACCTCAAACCTCTCCTACCAGTAACCTCAAACCTCTCCTACCAGTAACCTCAAACCTCTCCTACCAGTAACCTCAAACCTCTCCTACCAGTAACCTTACACCTCTCCTACCAGTAACCTCTCCTGCCAGTAACCTCAACCTCTCCTACCAGTAACCTCAAACCTCTCCTACCAGTAACCTCAAACCTCTCCTACCAGTAACCTCAAACCTCTCCTACCAGTAACCTCAAACCTCTCCTGCCAGTAACCTCCACCTCTCTCACCAGGGACACTGCACAATTCAGTATTGGATGCGTTGTTTGGGCACAGAGGTTTCATATTTCACAATTGTGCCACCAGCATAATTTATAGAGCGGAGCTGCGCTTCCATCACCATAAACCGCCTGCTGAGAGCAGTGACAGTTCCAGGCCATGAGCAGCCCTGCAATGAAGCATCGCAGGGATTATATCAATGCACCTCTTTTGCCCACCAGCCACTAGCCCTCCCCCCAGCCCCCCCCCAGCCACCCAAACATTAAGGTGTTTTCCAGCTGTGCGAGAGATTGCGTGTTTCACTCAGTTTCTGGCACCTTGTTTTTTTTCTTACATTCTTAAAGCTGAGCACCACTGAATTAAGCTCGAAACTCGAACCCAAACTCAGGTACATGTGCAGCCCCATATCTGTCAATACACTGCTGGATGAGGGCCTCTCCATGCCATGCTGGCCATAGGGATCATTTGTCCGTACTTCACCGTACTGGTCATTGCGTGTTGGTGAAGGCCAGTAAGCTTAGATGCGGGAGCGTAGGAGTACAGTCCTATAGACTGTCCTTTGCTGCTCACATATTAGCCCCACATAATCTTATTACACTCATATGCACGGTGGTTTCCAATCCAAACACTATTCCGTACACATATGGTATTTTATATAATCACTCACATCTGGCCTGAGATTATCATACGTTCTGCAAACGAGAGCATTGTTTTCATCAACTTGGTAACGTGGCACGTGCAGCCAGGATTCTAAGTATGTTTCTTTGTCATCTGACAATTGCACGAACCCCCTTAAGCCAGGATTTAAAGAGCTCAATTTGTCATGCCCTATCAAAACCTACCTTTCCATAGTCACCAGTAGCATGGTGAAGTCAAGTCAAACAACCCCCATGATCTAAACGGTGTGGGTATGCCTTCGTCCAGCAGAGCATTGACAAAGTGGCTGTGAATTACCAGTATTACTAACATATAAATATTACCAGTAATCTAAATAATAATAATAAACTAACATGAGTATTATTACCTACACAACACGGGAAGGCAAATGATGGCATGTGGCACCTTGTTACCCCTGCCCACCAGGTTGTCTGAGCTAGAGAAGTTGGGGTCACGAGGGAGGCCTAGGAAGGGGGCTCGCTTGGAGGGCCTTGGGGCCAGAAGGGACCCCTGGCAAGGGGGCTCGCTTGGGAACTTTCCAAACAGGGACCCTGGGCGTTGGCATTGTATATGCTGCCGTCTCATGTGGCTGAACTTCAACTTGGACAACTCGACCTTTGCTTGCACCCGTGGCCCCAGCCCCATGGATCGCGATGCCGCCGAAGGACATCGTGAACGTGAGCGGCAGCGACGTGGTGTTCGGCTGCGAGGTGTCGGGCTTCCCCATGGCGTTCGTCGAGTGGCGGAGGGAGGGCGTGGACGAGCTCCTCCCGGCCGACGACGCTCACCTCGCCGTGCAGGTGCGGGCTGACTCGTCCAATTCCTTACCTCTTCCCTGCTGCTAAGATGTTTTTTTTATTTTACCGGGTAAGGCCCACTGAGCTATATAGTTTTTTTTATTATTAGAAGCGATGTGGCCACAAATGATCAGCTCAACCAAGTGGCATATTGCGTGGAAATTCATAGCAGCCAAATATTCCAAACGCAAGATGTTGATTCTAAATGTGAAGGGAAAAACGGGAGGACCCAGCGATAAAATCCACGCCACCGTGGGGAGAAAGAAAGAGAGAGAGACACGCACACTCCAAATATGCTGCACTTGGGCCCCTCCTGCCTGTAGGGCTGTGAATGCGGTAAAGCCACCTTCACATTCGATAGCTACGCCACCGCGGCACGGTGTCACGAGACACAGACCCCCTTCGGAAGTCTTGCATTACGGTACATCACTCCCGTGTTGTTCGAGAAAAAGCCCGCAGAAACAGATTGCACAGAAGCACATACTTCCTTTCAAACGAGATCCCTTCAAATGACCTTTTATCCAAACACTAGGAGGTGTGTTTTCTCACATTGCAGTCTAAATAATCATTTTTATTCTCAGAGCTGAAGCGTCGCCAAAATAAGCGGGGGGGGGGGAAAAACGAATGTCACGTGTTGGATTTTTGGGTGTGAAGTCAGAATCAGAATCAGAATATTTATTTATACTGGAGGAATCCAATGAGTTATGAAGCTATTATTTCACAGATGTCCAGTAGGGGCGAGTCGGAACGTTACAACAACGTTCAAGTCAATGGTGGTTGGGCAGAGATGATCAACTCATAATACTTGACAACGCAGTTTAATCGTGGGCGACCGAAACCCCCTGAGCCGCCCGGCTGCCTCATCGCAAAGTTTTTTTAGCGGCCAAGATTCGGCTTTGGCATGCGTTGCGTGCGTTGCGTGCGTTGCGTGTGTGCTCCTAAACCCACTCCTGGCCGGTGCTGCAGGCGCGGGGAGGCCCCCAGCGCTACCAGATGACGGGCTGGCTGCAGATCCACAACGTGCGCCCCAGCGACAGCGGCGTGTACGTGTGCTACGCGCGCAACCGCCTCGGGGAAGCCTACGCTACCGCGCGTCTTATCATCATTAGCCCAGGTGTGCCACCCCCCCCCCCCCCCCCCCCCCCCCCCTCATTACCCATGCAGCACAGTGCAGCGAAAGTGGCATTGTAGTGGTGAATCCATGCCAACATTTTGTGAACACCCCATCAGATGTTTTATTTTTTAATCATTGCCTAAGCTCGATACTTCCAAGGTATATAACCAGCTCAGGGGGTGCGGCAATCGGTCAGGTGGGGCCCCTATATTTTATTAGCGCAATTTGCAGAAGCCATAAGTTACTACTCTAATTTAAAATAAAACGTGAAGCGTAAAGAAAAGCATTTCCATAAAAAAATTAAACCGCGTTTTAAATACGTTTCTGTTCTTTAACACTGTTGAAAACATACCTCATGGATGTTGTCAAGCGGGCCCCAACTCGTAGCTTTGCCCACCAGGGGATGAGGGAGGGCAAGGCACCTCCTGCCCACTCGCTAGTTACGCTACTGTTCATCGATGAATCACTGCCCAAGTGTGACAATGAGTTTGGCATGCAGTAGTTATCGCACACCGCTATAAACCCAGAAACCTGCGTTTGATATCTGAACTGGATCAAACTGGGCAAAACAAATGAGATGTATGAGAAATACGATTTTTACAAAACAGTGTCAACAGGAGAAAGGAGAATTGATTATTGGATTGAAGTGTGCAGTGCGTGAATTGGTGCATGCCTAATACATGATCAAACGAATTATTATTTGGTGATACTGCGTTGGCAGTGGTGCACTAGGACAAAAACATATATTTTTTAACTCAAATTTGTCAATAACGCTGCTTTCAAAGGAACAAAATATTTATAACAGGTGACGTTTTAGGGCAATGGGCCTTTTTCATGGTACATGAATCAGAACGAGATATGTATTTATACTGGAGGAATCTGATGAGCCATAAAGCTCTTTTTCACAGATCACCAGAGGGGATACAAGTTGAAGATTGCACTTTACACCATAGGGCATGTTGAGAATAACTTTTTTTCATTAGTTTCCTAGTGAGCAATGTTTAAAAGGGCATATGAAGAGTTACCCAAGAACACATTAATATTTACGTAATAATATTTATGTAAATAGAGCAAAAGTATGACGTATAATGAAGTTCTGCACTTCGATGCAAATGAAATATTAATTAACACTGTATCATTCACACATGTGACCAATAGTTTTGTTGATTCATTGAAGACATCCTGGTGGCAGCATGTGCTGTGTTTAGCCAGGTTGAAATTTTTGGATATGGAAGTTCAGTGTTTATGGGAAATTTCAACAGTGTTCTAACGGTTTTTATCAACTGGGAGTTGAACTTGCAACCTGCTGACTGCGAGCCGCTCACTCTAGCGCTGAGGCACCTGCCCGGTAAATGGATTGTAGCTGGTTAATTGAAGAACATAGGTCAATATGAGTTGAAATGATTTATTCTTTTATGGAATGCAAAAGTTAATCAACCTTCTTGATGGCTTCCCTTCGCTTCACGCACACAGATTCTCCGGAGGCCGAAGAGATCCTTCACAATCCATCCGTCCTCGATTTCCCAGTCTATGATGATGAAGAAGATGACGATTATTAGATACTTGAGAAGACCTCAAAGATACACGTACGGGACTGTTCAGAGAGTGCATTTACCAGCTGCTTATAATTATAAAAAAAATATTACTTCTTCCACGATTATAAATAGTCTGGCACAATTTCTGCCTAATATTATTCACTCCAATTCCTTTGAAATGTGTGTGTATTACAGTGATAAAGTATAATGCATAAAATGGCCATTATAAGGGTACAATTTTGTAAAGTTGTAATAATGTAATTTTCGAATACTTTTAAACTGCTTTATGCACTATTTATAATCTTTACAAAGCTCTTACACAAATCAGCCTTGCTGGAGTGTAACTCTACGAGGTACATTTCACAAGTCATCCAGAATGCACCTGATGTTATCAGATTTCAAAAAGCCAATTTGAACCTGATTGACGCTTTTGGATTGGCTTACCACAGTGCACAAAAAGGTGTTGTGGGCCTGCTGTGGAGCTACGTTGTGTGCAGCACGGGGCAGTACAGATACATCTGTTGTACTGCTTTAGGCTCCCACAGCTATGTTCCCCCCTACTTTCACCACCCCGCACTGACCAGTGCCAAGCACGATCAAATAACTCACACAGTGTGGGGAAGCCTTAATCCAGCAGTGGATTGGCAAAAAGGGCCGTTATGGTGCCACTCAAAATTCAAGTTTGTGATTTTCCAAGCCACGCCTCTGGTTTAATTAATTTGACTGTAAAACTAAATCCACAGCAAGTTTAAAGACAATTTCTTCGACGGAGTTGAACACTGCATTACAGGCAATACACATAGTGATCGTTTATGAGTATAGTCGCAGAGAATCAAAGGGGATCCTGAGAAACCTGTGACTATGGAAAGAGTAGGACGACATTCTCAGCAGTTGACTCCTCCAACCAAAACTAACAAATTGAGAGGAGGATGAGAGGGGAGAAAAACTGAAAGTTAAATATGAAAGTTCAATGTTCCATATTGCATATTGAGTGGTGCCCAAATGTACATGCACAACTTTCTTTACCCATGAAAGCCTTACTGAGTCTCAAGATCGTTTTCTCTACGAGGGTATTGCTTGAAATATTAGACCAAGTACATTTTGAGTATTTTGTGTGTATATCATGCAAGGTGGCTTTTGTGTGATTAATGGGAATCAATATATGTTTGCTTATTGAATCTGTTATAATGCTGATACGGCACTCGCCACTTATCAATTTGTCTCACGAATCATTCGCACAGGCTCACTTGCCCATCATCGAATGCAGGACATTGGCTGCATTATACTTTTCCAGACCGTGAAACTGTAGCCAGTATATGCAAATACTGTGAGACCACTAACGCTAACATATATTTTTACAAACCTAAAAGGAATAAACCGGACGATCAGATTGTAGCTTTGACAAAATATCGGTTTTTCTTATGGTGCTAGACATTGCATTCAAATGTATTGAAACGTTTGCACAATAAACCCCAAAATAAACTTTTTACAAAAGCTGCTCTTCTGATCGGGGAAGTCGATGATTGACGTTCGCCGTTAATTGCTGGCGTTCATTGTGGTTTTCAACATAACAGGGTGGACCACGAGAAGGCCTTCATCCTTCACCCCAATGAAAGCAAACGTGGTTTTTCAACAACTTTGAAAAATCCAAGAGGCATGTCATCCGTTTTTATCGAGCATTTTGGTTGTGGAATGGGTTGAATGTTTTATTAGTTGAGCTCGGATTTCTCTTAAAACGTGGCCTCGGAAACGTGTCGCTCATGAGACTGGCGCTCGCCTCTATGGTTGCAGAAACATTTACCAAGAGAATTGGCACATCTGCGTCAACTACAGGATCCAGTTGAGAAGGGTTAGCACAACTCGACTTGCAATCCAGAGGTTGCCGGTTCGGCCTGCCGGTGCAGGCAGTTAAAACAATAGTGCAAGTTTCTTAAATCTCCCTGCCTCTGTCCACTCTGTAGAGTACATGGGTTCACCACAGTTAGTCGATCGGCAGGTCATGTGTGGTGGGGTACAGCGTGCATACTCCCACACGTCTTCCGAGACGTCTTACTAGCGTGGAAGGGAAGGCCAAATCACCTCTGTCGAGGCTCTATAACTGATACGTGCCATCCATTTTTTTTTTGGGGGGGGGCGGCGATTTGAAACCCAATAGTACCAATTTTGTATTCTAATTGCGTGCTTAACATTGCTTAATCAAAGGGAAGCTTTTCGTTATGACTCATTAGCAAATTGCCAGAGAAGAGGACATGTGGCTGTGTGTACTTAAGTTGTCAGTTTCATGTAAATACTCAATTGTGTTGTGGCAGCTTCTACCCCAGAGTGGTTCGCTGCTGCTTAGTGGGTCATGCGCTCTGTTAATGTGATTATGATGTCTTTTGTTGGTAATTATTTGTTTAAAGTCGCTGGATAGAAAGCATGTGTTTGAATAGCACCACATTTAGGTTAATATTTTAATGAACAATGCATAACCTGTTTTTACAGAAACAAAGATGAAAATGTGAATTTGCTGAATTTAATGATACATGGAACCATTGTTCCATGTATCATTCAATTAATGTATCATTTAATTCAGTTTCCATGTATAATTTAATCCGGCAACTTCATATATATGCAATCCATATCCCATTAAGATGTTTTATAATCTTAATACATTTTACAATCTCATCACTCATTTCTAAAAATGTTACTACTTGAAGAGTTTGGGTCCGAATTAATTAGCATTAACAGAAGGGTCGACAAAGCATCCAATCGGACCTCTCTCAAGGAAGTGCGATTTGTATTGGAGAACGGTCCAGTGAAGTGGAATATTACAGAGCTACCTCAGATAATCGTTATTCTGACCACTGTTCTGACAGAGTAGGGGGCAGCACTACCCAACCTACTTAGAGTAATATTAATTGCATTACAGTCAAAATAATATAGTACATTTTTAGAGCTGGAATTTAGCCAAATTAAGAACGGAACAAAATTCAATGTGATGGGGTGTTTTTGTGCATTGGCTGAGACAATTAACCTACGACACTTGAGAACTCGGTTAATTGCAGCAACGGTGCCAGCTCATTGATCCAGGCCACCTCAGTGCTGGGATTTTAGCGGCCAAGTTTTGGCATTGGCGTGTGTGCCCTGAACACCGTTCATGCCGGTCGGATTGCAGGTAACAGGGGTCCCACAGCATTACCAGATAACCTTTTCACAAAGTGATACAACATCATAATCGTTTTACATTAATTTCGGTGAATCATACTGCTCTTTAAAATGATCTATGCTTCGGGTTTGCTGGCTGGGCTCCTCACCACCTCCACAATAACTCTGTTAATGGCTGGATAACTGGGTAAAGAGGCTTTTGCGTGTAATAAATAAATATTGAAAGAGCATAATAAGTTCGGAAGACACATTTTAATAGGTAGCGATACCGAATGAGTGGGTGTAACGAATACAAAAAAACTAACACGGCTCAATTAAAATTACTCGAACTTTGAAATGTGTTTTCCCCTGTTCAGTAATTATTCCGCCATAACATTTATTGAATGCTACAGAATATAAAAAAAACGCCTCACGTGACATTACCTTAGTATTGTATCACGCTAAAAAGCAGATTACTTCTAGTACTCCGAGTACAGTAGTGTGAGATCGTGGAAATGACAACCGTCTCTTAATTTCTGTTGCAGAGCAACGGACCCTCGTAAATATTAAAACAATTGCTACGACAGTCCAGTAAATGTATAAACCAAAATTGCGATGAAATGTGGCGTGTACTTCATTATCAGCTCAATCGACACAAGCTAACCTTACCACAAGTCACGAATGCGGTTAATTTATCTCTGAACAGTAACATACAATGGGGGAAGCTGTTAACGTAACGCCCGTTCTGGTATGCGATGGGGAAACGCTTTACAAGTTTATATTGACTACTACAGTAAGTAAACACGCAAATCTTTGGCGACAGCGAACATTGAGGCATTTTAACCGAGTCAAAGGTCAACCCTAATAGCCTTAATAGACTCTTGGGGCAAATGCTGTGTGCGAGCACCTATGACACTCCCCATAGTGACTCTACGTGGGTACACACTACAGTATTACTGTTGCTAGCCTATACACAACACTAACCGTCTAACACTGACGGCGCTAAAAAAACTGAGGACAGCCAACAACTATCACATTTCGAGTGAAGGCGGCAGCGACGATGGCGACGATCTTGAGCAGCACGACGGAGGATCTCACTCCAACGACGGTCCCTCACAGGGGCCCCTCTCAGCGTGGCCAAGCCCTCTCTCTGGAAGCTACCAGCGGGTTCCCGAGGCTTCCCGATGGGCCCCCCCCCCCCTCTGTGACCTTTCCCCGAGATGTCGCCCTCTCCTGTCTATCGTGGCCTGCTGACGTGGGTGCTGCTAATACACCGCAGTTACCCTATTCCGCCAGCAGCCAGCGCTATGCCACTACACATGTACTAAAATTGTACTAAAATTGGAATGATACAGAGAAGATGAAGCGTGGCCCCTGCGCAAAGGATGGCACGCAACATTCGTGAAGCGTTGTTGTTTTTGTCTCCCTAGTGGAGATGTTTACGCACAGCACCAGGTACCCATTTCAGGCTGAATCGACCAAGGGGAGGTCCAGGACCGGTTCAAAAATTCGCCACTGTTATTGATCGCGAGTAGGAATTGAACTTGGGTCGCCAGGTTCGTGGCGCCTTGGCACACACAACGCGTGATTGTCATTCATACACTGTACTTTATTTATAACTAGATGAGAGCTAAGGGGAGGTCAAACGTCTATTTCTTCACAATGCGAGACCTGAGTTTAAACGTGATACCCTTACACACACACTCCACGCTCTGATTATAACAGCAATCACGACACTTTAGTTTGACCCCATGTCTATTGCTTTGCAAGGACAATAAAGAGGACATTCGTTGTTTATTTAATGTTTTTCAAATGTCACCTCATTTACTGCATCCTGCAGGGACTTATGAAAGACGCACAACAAGAAAAGAGATTAAGGCCAATTACAAACGACGCGGTCGATTTCAATGTCATCTTTTAAAAAAAAATACATAAAACATATTCTCAAGTCACGATTAATACATTTGGAGAAAGCCGTATCCTTACCCGACTCCCCTTGTACTTAAACAGCACGTACTGTGATAATTGTTTTTTTACCCTTTTATCTGGCAACAAAACTGACACCTTTTTTTACAAGGAGTCATGTTTGCATTGACCACAATACCTGCGGTCGGAATGCAAACAAAAAACATAACTCTGATAATGTATGCACTGTCCTTGGAATTGATTGTAAGCAATTCTTACCCCGAGCTCTCATACTCTGATGGTGCATTGTCTTTGAGTTGTGCGCCTTTTGGCGTCATCTGGTCCAACACCATGTGAGACGAGGCTCAAAGGAAAGCTGTCTCGGGTGTGGACCAATCAATTTCAAGGACAGTGCATACATTATCAGAGTTGTTTTTTGTTTGCATTCCGACCGCAGGTATTGTGTTCAATGCAAAGATGACTCCTTGTAAAAAAAGGTGTCAGTTTTGTTGGCAGATAAAAGGATAAAAACAATTATCATATTTTGCTACTGGCAAAGGAGGTTCCAATGGTGTAAACACGTACTGTATTTCAACTGTTTTGGCAAATGGCATTCTTATTGTTGTTTCTAAATAGCGTTGTATTTAGGCCTCGAGTCAAGAGCTTGTTATGAACGCATTCACATCCAGTGGGTAAAAATGGATTTTCGTAGTCAATTACTGGCAAGGGAGGAATGATATTTGATATTCGTTCTCATTATTCCTCTCCAATGGCAGAGGTGGCTGGAAAGTCAAGGAATGGAAGGCGCCCGAGAGAGCCTGTAAATCGAGATGGAGCGACAAAATCAGCTGGTGTGGAGGCACCAGGTGGATCATTAACATTGCGTATCGTGAGAGGTGGCAGCCTTCATTCGGCAGTGGATTAACCCATGTTTGATTAATTAGTATTCCAGAACCAACTGGTGTGCAGGCACCAGGTGGATATTTATTAACATCGCAGCATCGTGAGAGGTGGCGCCCTTCATCCAGCAGTGGATTAACCCATGGTTGATGAATGAGTATTCCAGAACCATGCTTAAATCTCGAACCAAGCCCTCTTGTCGCAACGTGTAACAGTGTAACTATTCGCAATGGCAAGTGGTGCACAAGAATATGAAGCACAGACAACAAAACAAATCAAGACATGCATCAATCACGCTGCCTTAAACTGAAAAAAAACATAATTGGCGACTTTTTATAGCACACAGCTCTACAGAAAGGCCGACGGAGTTGGGGGGGGGGGCGACGGAGCCGTGGGGGGGGCGACGGAGCCGGGGGGGGGGGGCGACGGAGCCCGGGGGGGGGGGCGACGGAGCCGGGGGGGGAGGCGATGGAGCCGGGGGGGGGGCGACGGAACCGGGGGGGGGGCGACGGAGCCGGGGGGGGGCGACGGAGCCGGGGGGGGAGGGGCCGACGGCGCAAGCGGAGGGTGCCGACACTGACTCACTCACACATCATGCACTGACTCACTCACACATCATGCACTGACTCACTCACACATCATACACTGACTCACTCACACATCATACACTGACTCACTCACACATCATACACTGACTCACTCACACCATGCACTGACTCACTCACACCATGCACTGACTCACTCACACCATGCGCTGACTCACTCACACATCATACACTGACTCACACATCATACACTCACTCACACTGCCGCTGACTCACTCACACATCATACACTCACTCACACATCATACACTGACTCACACACATCATGCGCTGACTCACTCACACATCATGCACTGACTCGCTCATCATGCGCTTACTCACTCACACATCATACACTCGCACAACCACTGACCCATTCACTCATCATACACAGGTTCACTCATCGTGTGCTGGCTCACTCGCACATCATACACTCACTCACACTGCCGCTGACTCGCTCACACATCATACGCTGACTCACTCATCATGCGCTGACTAACACATCGTGCGCTGACTCATACATCATACACTCACTCAAGCTACCACTGACTCACACATCATACGCGGACTCACACATCATACACTCACGCTGCTGCTGACTCGCTCACACATCATAACACTGACTCACTCATCATGCGCTGACTAATACATCGTACGCTGACTCACACATCATACACTCACGCTGCTGCTGACTTATTCACACATCATACACTGATTCACTCATCATGCGCTAACACATCGTGCGCTGACTCGCACATCATACACTCACGCTGCTGCTGACTCGCTCACACATCATAACACTGACTCACTCATCATGCGCTGACTAATACATCGTACGCTGACTCGCACATCATACACTCACGCTGCTGCTGACTTATTCACACATCATACACTGATTCACTCATCATGCGCTAACACATCGTGCGCTGACTCGCACATCATACACTCACTCACTCTGCTGCTGACTCACTCACACATCATACACTGGGAGTGTCGTGCTGCCAGCTATGGCTGCAGGTTTTGTCGTACGTGTTATGTATATCGTTTATTGTTACATTTAAAATCACAGTTCCTATGATTACTGCTGTTACATTGTTTTATTGCTTTATTTTGGTGATTCGAAAACATATGGTAAATCTAAATTGTCTTATGGTTGTTGTTGTTGGCTTGCACCACATTGTGATTTTTGCACACAGCGTTTTCATACGTTTTTTTGTGTGTGGAATATTTGCTGGTTTATTGCAGGATTCTAGATTTGAAGCTTTCGTGACTGCAAGGATTCATGCTCTTTGGTTTTTTCGGTAAAGTCGCGTAGGTAAAATAAAAATAAAATAAATGAAAACAACTAAATAAATCACGACGTTTCGGAGGCAACACAAGCTTCCGTCTTCAGGTGGAACAGTCACAGCAAAATCAGCTGCGTCAAGTGAACAGCTCTGGGACACACGGGTTTATATACAGGTTTAGGGGGGGGGAGGAGTCAGGGAGGGACGTGGGTGGGGAGGGGTGGGGAGGGGTGGGGTGGGGAGGGGTGGGGAGGGGTGGGGAGGGGTGGGGAGAGGTGGGGAGGGGAGGGGTGGGGAGGGGTGGGGAGGGGTGGAGAGGGGAGGGGTGGGGAGGGGTGGGGAGGGGAGAGGTGGGGAGGGGAGGGGTGGGGAGGGGAGGGGCTAAGTTAAGCCGCCTTTTGTTCTGCAGGGGGTTCAGGGGGAGGCGGTGGTGTACTTGCACGTTAAACCACCTTTTGTTATTCTTTAGGGGATTTAGGGGGAGGCGGTGGTGTACTTGCACGTTAAACCACCTTTTGTTATGCTGCAGGGGGTTCAGGGGGAGAGCGATGACACGCTGCACGGGGGCGAGTACAACCCACTGGTATAAACGTAAATGGCTGTATAATTATAAGCCAGCTAAGGTTTGACTTGGTTGATGACATCTCTCCAAAAGTTGCTCAATTTAAAACCATCCTCTCGGTTGAAGTTGTGTCTATGTTTGTATATCTGGATGGCTTCATGGACAAATCTTTGGTCGTAACCGGGAGGTTTTCATAGTACTTTGGTATCGGAGAAAACCCAGCGGGTTCTCATGACATTATTTTCTTATTCCGTCGTCGCTTTGCGATGTTCTGTGTTCATATTTTGTTTGTTGCGGTTGTACCCGACTTAAGAGCCGCATGGCTCAGAGGGCTATACCAAATAAATGAAACTTGAAAACTTGAAATATACATTTTAATATGTTATATATTTTACGTTGCCCGAAACGTCGTATATTTGATATATATTTCCTTTTAAGGCAGTGTTATTGACGAATGCGTCTTGTGCCTTCTGCTGACATTACAATGCACTGTGTACACAACGTCCCCGAAAAATATTGACAACTTCAACAAATGATAACGGAACACAACTTTGCGTTGCTCACGATACCCCCTCGAGGTCCCCAACCACCACCAATCCCAACGCGCGACCTCAACGTCGCAGCGCTCTGCACCAATCCGCCTGCTGGAGTTGCCCCCCCCACCACCACGCCGATCGCGTCCGTCGCGAGTCCCCCCCCCCACACCTCCCCCCCACCGTCACCAACCAACCACAGGTCCCGACGTTACCCAACATCACGTGACCGGCGGCGTCACGCGCATGCGCGTTGCTTGTCCCCGCGCAGGCATGAGCGAGGAAAGATGGCCGACCCCGAGCAGGTAATGGGGGTCGCGGCGGTCGCCGCCGCCGCCGCCGTGGGGTTCGGCGAGAGACTTGGGCGGGCGGAGCGAGATCCCTTCCCCCCGCCCGCTCGCTCCGCCTGGATTAACCGAGCGATCGACGCCTTCGCTCCTCGCACGTTTGCCTCGGCAATCGGCGAGCTCGCCCTCGGCGGCGCGGCTCCGACGCCGGCCGCGGTTAGCCGCTCCCCCCCCCCCCCCCATGTGTAGCTGTTAATAAGATGATGGAGAGGTGCAGCGTTCACAAGGGTGGCCGATTACGTGTGAGAAGACGTTTATTCTTCTCGTCGTTCTCGTTATAGTCGCCGTTGCAATTACGCTTCGGCGTGCAAATGCCGATGTTAATTGGCGATGTCTGGAGCCTTCGGTGAAAGTGGGTTATCGGGGGGGGGGGGGGGAGTCGGTACAGTATATGTCAACACTGGCAGTGGTGATGATGATTAGTTGCTCATTGTCGTTGTTTGCGAGCGTTTAGTCGGTCGCATTTCCTCGGTTACGTTGAACTTTGCAATGGTCGGCGATGAGTGGTTGTTAGCAGTGGACCGGAGCTGATGGAAGATAACCGCGAGGTTGCGTCCATCCACGTGTGCGGGTGTCTGTACTGTGCCGCCACCACACTGTACAGTATTGATCTAAAACAAGAATAACCGCATAGCATTGTCGATTTCTAGTTATTAAACATCGATCTTCGGCAACGGCGTTATTAATGAGTGAACAATTGAAAACCAATCTCAGGTACTCGAGCCACAACTGTCATGCGAGTGCACGATAGGCTCTGATGTTCGGGCCTCCCTTCTACGCCTCACTGCAGTTGCTGCAAGTTTGTGCATTTGTGTTTACGTATGCGTGTGCCTGCATGCGTTTTCATGCAGGCGTCTGCGGGCGTGTGTATATCTATCCGTGGTGTGCTTGTATGTGCCCATTATTGTGATGGAAGGTCTGTTTACGCTTGTGCATTGGCTTATATCCATGGTTGTGCCCGTGCGCATGTGAACGCTCGTGTGTATAACATACATGTGTTTGCGTATGCGGGTATCTGTACCTTAGCAGTTGCAAGGTTAAAACTATGGCCTTTGGTTTTGTACGCGACTGCCTGCGTGGATGTCAGTGAGACCCCGGTCAGTAGCAGCATCTGCAGATTCATATCAATTCGACTCGAGAATAAGGGGGTGGGTGGGGGGGGAAGAAGGTTGTTTTGCAATTGTACAACATGAGGCTGATACAACTTGAGCAGACAGCGGGCTGCTGTGCAACCAGGGGCCCCCAACGTTAACCACCGTCTGCATCACTGATCCATGCTTTAGCGGTCAGTAAGCAGTGCTCACGCAAGTGTTTACGGTGCAACGAGTTAACGAGTCTCGGTCAGGTCGGCAACGTTCGGCCGTGACCGGAATCCCAGCTCCGTCCTTACATGTGCTTTTGGCTGCAATGGCGCATCCGGTAAAGTCGTTTTCTTCCGGGTTCTATATTTCTAGAAAGCACAAGGTTACCGATAGTTTCTAGAGGCGTTTTTTGTTGTTGTTGTTCAAAGCCTATCATGCATATTACGTTTAATCCTGTTTGGAAACGTACTCTATGTACAGTCCTATTCCAGTCCTCTACTGGATGAGGGCCGGACCACACAATATATAGGTCGTAGGGTTATTTGAAACGTCTAATGTATCGGTCAGTTTAGGTTTGTGAAGGTTGGGAGCATAGACATGAGGCATAGTAGTCCCTCTCGTCACTGTCCTCTTACACATCATGTTACCCCGCAACCTTAAACAACCTGTTTTGCTTGGCTGTCACCCATCTCAGCACTATCCAGGCTCATCTCTGCTTAGCGCCGATATTTTTGGTCAAAGACACGATACTGTATACCTGTGGGTATTTGTATGCTTTTTCAATATATATTGCCGTAATGAAGATAAATCCGTGAGGGTGTTTTCACCCGAGTTGACATGTTTACTAATTCATATAGAGTAGAAACGTTTAACAAGTGGTGCTTTGCTTCTAAGAATGTTAATGCATTATGTTCAACGAGTATTGTGGCAAGAATTGAATATTTAATGCTTTTGTACACAGTTGAATGTTTGTACCTTGTTTATGTTTTAAAGTGTTTTCTAAATGGTACACATTTCACATTAAACTTCCTGTGAAACAGTTTTCCACGAATCTCAACTGTCTGAATTTTGTTACATTTATAATCAGGCTTGTTTTGAATTTGCTAAAGTTGCAGCGTATCCATACTCTTTGGTTCTATTCGGTAAAGTCACGTAGGTACAAAATACGTGACTTTACCGAATAGAACCAAAGAGTATGGATCCTTGCAGTCACGAAAGCTTCAAATCTAGAATTGCAGCGTATCATTGCACCAAACACTTACATTCACACCTACATGTTAACGCTTAATGTGTTATACCATGTTAGCTTTGATTTTGATGGTCTCTTTTGTAAGTTTACTCACATTAGAAGGATGATTGAATAACCAACCATCCCAGCTTCAGATTCAACCTTCCTTATCAGAGAAAGATCAATTTAATCATTATTGGTCAGTTTTTTATGGTTTTGAGGCGTGCAGGTAAAATCGAGACACTAATGCATTTATCATTAGTCCCATGCAGCTTAGTGCAAATTGTTTGTCAGAGGAAATTGTGGTTAAATTGTCTGTCATGATGTGCCACTTGTGGACAAGTTTACTCATAAGAAGTGCTGCAGACATGATGAACCATATACCATGCTGAAATGATAAGCACCTAATATGCATGCACTGTGTAATATAGTGGATGAGATGTAACAAATAAACAAACACGAATGCCATTCTAAAATAAGGGATTGGCCATTTTGTTAAACAATTTAACTGTACTGTACTAAAAAAAATGTGTGTGGAAATATGCAAATGCGATATCAACGGTCACATGTTAGGTGCATGTGCTTACACCCATGCACTCGCATTGTAGCAAGCACTAACAACCATGTATAGAGCATTATATTTTTTTTGAAAGCATTATATGTCAATCATTGCCCAATATATTGAGTATTGGATACTGGTAAGCTGTGGCAAATTTTCTCTAGCGGTATTGTAGTTTTCATGAAAATATAAAACGTGTGACGACCTTATAACATTTTGTAAAAAAGTGTTCAGAATTAATGGAGTTATTTAGTATAAGCAATGAATGAAAATGCTCTATAAAGTCACGTTCTCATCATCGATGTTCTGTCCTTTTAAAAACTTGTGTTTTTCTCATCTGAAGGAGGTGCCAAGTGCGATTGTTTCAATGCAGAATCTGGAAGTTTCATAAAAAATAAACAGCAATATGCGAAAAACAAACGTGATATGTGCCGTTGCTGTGATGCTTTCAGAGCTTTGTGATTAGTGCATTACTCTGGTCCTGGTCAAGAGGCCATCATGGCCAAAGTTACTGGCAAATGTCCTGTGCTTGGCTGAAAGGTCTCCATAGCATTGTAACAGTAAAATCATAAACTGTGGATGCATAGTTAATTTGTTTGCAAAATAAACACATTTCAAAGCTCTTTGTTACGGTAAGCTTAAGCCTTTACAGTAAACGTTCAATTTTAGAGAAGTAAGTATTTTTGTGATCTGTGATTATTACAATTCGTAATTGACATGGTGCCTTCCTCCCTTGTATATACTCTGTCTTCTCGACAGAGCCTAGCACAGCTGGAGCTGCTGTGCAAGCAGCTATACGAGACGACGGACACATCCCAGCGTGTGCAGGCCGAGAAAGCCTTGGTGGACCTCACCAACAGCCCCGAATGTCTCAGCCAGTGCCAGCTGCTGCTGGAGAGAGGGAGTGTATGTTACTTTTATTTGCTTACTCATAAAGTCCCTACAAGTGACGTCTCTGTGATGTGTATCTGTTCTACCTACTTTATGGTTCCTTAATGCTTGTGAAGAGGCACTGCATGATACACTTGCTATTTAATGACGTATTTCGCCAAAAAGTTAAGTTTTGCTAACCGTGATGATCACGGCTAACATCAGTGGCGAGTGATATTTAAACCAGTACTGGGCCCGCCACCCCCCTTTCACCAACTCATGCTGACCAGCATGGTCAAGTTTTTAAAAAACTCCCTTGGTCAGTCATAATCCCCTCCCTATTTGGAAGTTGATGGTGTAGGGAGCCCTTCGTCCAGCAGTGGATTTACAAGGGGTGTGAATGTCTAATTACTTAGTTGTCTTGTTTCTTTAAGTCCAATTTTCACGAGGGTCCCTTACCAACCCTGCAAGAATATGCTGAAAATTACCACCACGAGCACACTTAAAATGTGGTTTATAACACTGAAAACAACTAAGAGCAAAATTTGTATGTATCCCCACACAAACTGTGAGATCTCTGAGTAGATGTGTGCAGTTCCAACTGTTGTGTCACCGAGTACTGACATCACTGGCCTGGAGTAATGCACTGATGCTGCGACACTGAAGGCACTGGTTGCTCAATCTGTTCGCATTTTTTGCAAGATGCAGTACATTCATCCCCGGTACTGCTTGTGTGGCTGCTTTAAAAATTGTGAAACATTTAGAAAAGACTTCTGTTTGTCAAAGATATTTGGAAAGCCTTGTTTTGTGTTGAAATGTGTCCGATATCAATATAAATGTATCAATGAAGTAGTTTAATGTTTTAGAATGCAGTCATTTGGGGTAAACCTCTAAAAATACAACTTAATTTTACGTTTCTCTAGTTAAAATATAGCGCATTCACACGAGTTCATTTCTGCACGCTGTCTTATCTGCAAGGCTAAGGTGCCCCTTAGTTCAGTGTTAATTCGATGAATTTCAACAGCAGCAGTGGCTCTGAAATAATCCACCCTTGATGCGATCAACAAATGTTTTATTTACTCTTAATCATGTTTGTTCATGTTACAGCCCTTTTGGGCCCTTGGTTCCTGCGGTGAATTTGATATTCACCTGTTACGTGTTTGGATTTTTTTAATTGAGGTCCTTGATAGCTTTTGCCTTTATCTTTTTAACCGCAAAGTTGAATATGTTATGCATGCATGCATGCACATTTTAATAGCAGGGAAATTTAAAACACCAGAAAGCTCTTGAGTCGAACATGATCATTTCTTCTTGAGTTGTGCAATATGATATGCTAACTTCTCGACGTGGTAATAATGCAGTTTATAAAATGCACTATTTGACAGACACAAACGTCCTTGACTGTTGAGACAAACTCAATGTCGCTTGGGACTTTAAGCGTCTCTTAAAAGCCAGTGTAGATTAAACGCTGCTGTGAATGTGCAGCGGGGGTGGCGTTCCAGACGGCGGGGGCTGCTACAGAGAAATGACACCCGGCAGTAACGGACCTCTGGGCCTTGGTGTAGAGCAGAGGTAGTGAGTTGCGAAATTTTTGATAATAAATGAAGTGCCTAAGTATTCCTTTTTTTGTTCTATCTGTTTAAATGATTGCTTTTGTGTTTGTGGTTTTATCCTATAGTCTTCATATGCCCAGTTACTCGCAGCTACATGTCTCTCCAAGCTGATCTCGCGGACAAACAATCCCCTTCCCCTGGAACAGAGAGTCGACATTCGTAAGTAGAAGTTCTAATTGCGAGTTATGTTGCTTAAAACCTGGACAGAGAATGTTTGCATGTTGCACTTTCACACCTTGCATAGTATGTTGGACTTTCCCCAAAAGCTAAGTTCACGTTTAAAATTAACACAATGGATTTAAGTCAGTGTTGTTCTTTTGTAATATTTATCTATATATATAATTTGTGAATGTGTCTGTTCGAAATGTTTAGCATACTTCCCGACATGCAACAAACTTGAAATTTGGCATGTGGGTAGTTTCCAGACTGTACACCATGCAAAAAGTATAAAAAATAGACTTTTGTATTTTTCTTGGGGGGGGGGGGCGCAATAATGTATATATTTTGCACGGCAAGTGAGCTGTGACGTTACATCTGTGATGTCACCCGCATGCGGAAGCGTCACGCAGTGTGCCTGCTGATGTCACACATCCCCCCCCCCCCAACCTTCCGTGAGTAAAGTGCCATACAAATGTGTTGCAGGTCTAAGGCGTTCTTCACGCAGCATTGGTTTATTGTTTGAGTTGTTTACTGCCGTACGCACCCTGACAGTTGGGTATCTGCAGCAAGCGCGTGTATGTGTACCTATGGATGCGCGCACACGTGTGTGTGTGTGTGGGGGGAGCGGTAGTGTTGTGGTTAGCACGCTGCGCTACGAACCCGGCGACCCGAGTTCGATTCCCGCTCATGGCCACCACCGGTGACGATTATTTGAACCGGTCCTGGGCCTCCCCTAGGTCGACTCAGTCTCAAACGAGTAACAGGTGTGGTGTGTGAACATCACCACTGGGGAGACAAAGGCGGCCAGGCGTGGTGAATCCAAGTCCCGGGCGAAGCCGGGTAGTAAAGCTAGTTATTTATAGATGTAAGTTGAAGTCAACCTGAAAGTTAACATTGTGGTATGCAGCATAACCAAATTTTATATCATCTTGAAGTTGCTTAAAATGTTACTGACTTTACACTTGTTTTAACATTTTGATTTCATGCTCCTAATATATTGGGTTTTAAATTCTCCCTGAAGAAATACATGCCATTTATCATTTCAGCTGAGAAGCTAAGCAGGTTCGAGCCTGCATAGAGCTTGGGCGGGTGACAATCATGCACAAAAACAGGTGTTGTAGGCTGCTGCGGGGCTACTTTTTCAGTGGAGGGCAATGCAACAAATTCCATTGTTGTTTGGAAGTATGTTCCAAGCCTTCAGCAGCCTGCATATGAGTGGTAAAATACGGTAAAATAACCCTCACGATGTGCATGGCTGCTGGGAGGCCCTGATCCAGCACTGGATTACAACGAGGCCATACATGTGCACTTTTTGTACACACGTGTACAATACTGCGCGTGCCCATTGCATCGTCTCAAGGCGCTGACGTCCCTCTCCCATTGGCCGTGTGTGGCAGGAAACTACGTGCTGTCATACCTGGCGTCGCGGCCCAAGCTTGTCTCCTTCGTGACGCAGGCGCTCATCCAGCTGTACGCACGTATCACTAAGCTCGGCTGGTTCGACTGCGACAAGGACGAGTTCGTTGTGCGAAACGTCATCACCGACGTCACCAAATTCCTGCAGGTGACCGAGCGGAATTTATGGGGCAGCCGGGATGCCCTCCTGCAGACAACGCCTTACTTTCGTTGCATGCCCAGTGTGTTGTTCTGAATTTACAAACTGCCTCTTTTGAGTGTGTGGTGCGTGAAACAGCATGTATCAAAATGTTTTTAAGACATTTATTTCTTGCTTACAGGGTAGTGTAGAACACTGCATGATTGGAGCGATGATCCTTTCGGAACTGGTCAGCGAGATGAATCAAGTACGTAATGATGCGCTTGGTTAACGGTTTTATTTGCAATAGAATATTTCATTAATTGAGTAATTGGAAATTTGTTCAGCCTAATTGTTTTTCTTTCTGTAGGCGGACACAACGCGACCAATAACGAAACATCGTAAAATTGCATCTTCGTTTCGAGACGTTTCGTTGTATGAAATTTTCACCCTCTCCTGCACACTGCTCAGAGAGGTGAGTGGTGTTTACAAGTTGGGATGAAGGCCCTCCCGTGCTGCGTTCTTTTCTCACAGTCTACCGATGCAATGATCCACCTAGCTTCTTTTGCACACAAATGTATTCAATTGCTCCATCTGCTTTTACTTTCCCTCCATCATCAGCATTGACTGTCGGGCACAATCCCTTCTCGTGACATGTCCCGCTCGGACCCGCATACTTTCTTTACAATTATCAAGATGTCTAATGTGCATTTTATCTCTGATCTGCATGTTCCTCTTTCTGTCTCTCACTTGTAATCTCTCCATGCTTCTTTGCTCATGTTTGAGTTTTTGTCAATGTCTCTAGTCCGTGGCAGGTGAAATGCAATTGTTGATATATTTTTTTCTTCGCTCACATTGGTATGTTGCGTTATGTTTTGAGTTTTTTTCGAATGCACTCCAACCTACACTTGTCCACCTCCTTTGTTTCATCATGTTGGTCCTGGTTCTCCTTCAATAACTACCCTAGGTATATGTACCGCGATGTGTTTTCCATTCTCCCTGAAACCGATGTATTCCATCATTTTGTGAACTTGATGAACATAACTTTTTCGTTTTTCTCGTATTTACCTTGAGCCCAACTCTGCTGCCCTGTTTATTAATCGTGGAATTTGACAGCCTGTGCACTGGCAAATAAAATCTTCCACCTCAAGGGATATTCCAGGGGAAATAGGTAATAGATACGCTCTTTTCGTGCAGTTAATTTCTATTGGGTGTTATATTTTCTCTGTGTTTTTGTTTCTTTATTTCTACAATCCAATTTTGGAATCATCCTATATGTTCAATGTGAATAACTTTGGCCAATGTACGGCTCTGAGTCCATATTTGAAAAGAATGTATTTTGTTAATTTCTTCATGCAGTCTCATTGTAGCTGCTCTATTTTTGTAAACTTTTGAAATGATATCAATCATTTAATGGTGCCTCAATCGTTCTTCCATTCAAAAAGGGTGATAAAACTGACTTGATGAATTATAGACCTGTTAGGCCTTCATCACCTGCCTATAAACTATTCACAAGGTCATTCGGAACACAACGAAAACTGTGAAGATCAACCAACCACATGAACAAGTCTGATAAAGGAAACATTTCTCAACTATATATCATGCACATTATTTAACGTCTTGCGTATGGAAATATTCAAGAGCTGAATGCTAATGTCGAGGTCTGCTCACCACAAAAGGGCTTCAGGAAAGCGTTTGTGTCGTCTTACTATTCCTCCGCTGAAGAAGTGCGGACTAGAGTGGTTTGCTTTGTGGTCCATCGTTTGTGTTGCATGGCCACAGTCGCACTGTGGCTTGTCTTTAATTTTCCAATTATTTCACTGAGATCTGGAAAAGGCCGAATATCAAACGCCATTATTTATTTATTTCCTTTATGGTAAAGTCACGTAGATCTATCTTTTGGTAAAAATCACATAGATCTAGCTGGTAAAATCGCGTAGATCTATCTACGTGACTTTACCAAAAGAACCAAAGAATATGAATTCCTGCTGTCACAAAAGCTTTAAGTCAAAATTAATTAAAATACATTTGGCTAAAAAAGCTTTCACAAACCAACAAACAGAAGCCTAACTCTACATGTACAGAAATAAAACATGGCTATATGTCCTGGTAATATTAGTAGCAAAATACACCTAATGAATGTTTAAACAAGTTAGGAAGCATGGCTATGCCTCAATTATGTAATTAATGCCAAGTTTTTTTTTTGTCTTGGGAAGGATTTGATTTAACATTGTGGAAGCTGAAGGGTAGCTGTTAGGACAATATGTATTTGCATGTTTTAATATATTGCGATTCTTAATCAATGTGGCTATATTTCAGTTTGGTTAGTCCATAATTGCAGGGCAACTTTATAAGAATGTTTCATTAATATTGGATCATCTTTATGAGAGTCCAAACCGCAGCCACCCACCCCCACCCTACATTGCAGACGAACATAACTAACGCATAATCTCTCTTAACCTTGCTGTGAAAGTCTTTAATAAGGCATTAAATAATATTTGCTCAAAATATGTTACTTTAAAGTTAACATTTCTAATTAAAGTGTTTTACTGCTTGTGTTACATATCTGCATATAAAGAATGCATATCCAAACAGGAAATTTGATTGTCATCCATAGCTTGATAAGTGTTCATAACAAAGCATGAACTTCAGTGACAGAAAATGACATACTTGCCGAGAACAATAACGTGCATTCATCTCTGCCAGGTGTATTGTATTTAAATTTGAACTGCAAACAGTAAAAATCAATTAGGTTATAAAACATACAAACATTCGAATTGCTCTTATTTTATACTGTGTGCAATAACAGATGTTAAAACGGACTTTGATTACACTGCAAGTTTATTAAAACATACAGCATAATACCTGCTATATTTTTTTATTTGGAGTGCATTGATGAAAGCAGGTATACACAGCATTATTATTCTGGTTCTGGTCTTAATCATTTTTGGTAATTATAAAAAAAAATCACAAATCACTGAAAATGCTGACTTTACTCCGAACTATACTCTAGAATGCGTATCCAAACAAAAGCTGAACAGTCCACAATGAAGCAGATAGATGCATGCTGGGAACTATAAACAAAAAGATAAACACGTGTATCACACTATTATATAAAGTTTTGCTGGCTGGCGGGCAGAAGAGTGGGCAAGTGCATGGTGGTGACATTGTGGGAAGCGGTGGTGTAGCGGTGAGCATGCTGCACTACGAACCTGGCGACCGAGGTTCGATTCCCACTCATGGCCAACACCAGTGACGATTATCTGAACCGGTCCTGGGCCTCCCCTAAGTCGACTCAGCTTCAAATGAGTACCTGGTGTGGTGTGTGAACAAAGCCACTAGAGAGGAAAAGGCGGCCGGGCGTTAAGCTGGCCACCCACCCCCTCGTGTGCCGGTCTGGCCTTCATATGTGCTCGCTAACAGCACTTATACCAAGTCTGTTAAGGCTATACGCGAGATCTTTGTCTTTGGTGGTGGCGTCACCGTGCACATCTGCATGATGACATCACAGCATACCACAACATTGAGCCCCGCCCCCACCACCTACACCGACCCGAGCCGTGGATCGCGTGCAAATGCGCGGGCAGTGCTAATATAATCAGAGAACCAATGCAAATTAGACATCGTATTGAATTAAGAGAAGTGGCTTTTGGGCAGGGCACGTGGTTAACATGTGAGACTGGTGCCAGAACGGCAAAGAAGGGAAAATGTCTGAGAAGATGAACACAGAGCTAGAGTAATGAGATCGGCTCATGCCTACTATAATAACCCAGTAATGTCTGTCCTTAACGCTCGTGACGTCACTCAACATCGACCAGCCCCCATTTATATTCATGGGTTGGTGACGTCCTCCAAATGGGCACCCATTTGGCACCCCAACCCCTCATTAATAATCATGAGCGGGTGATGTCACTCCACATCGAACAGCCCCCCTCATTAATAATCATGAGCAGGTGACATCCTCCAAGTGGACACCCCCCCCCCCCATTATTATCTTACCTACTGTCTGTGCAACGCTTGTGACGTCACTCCACGTCGACCAGCCCCTCATTAATTATAATCATAAGGTAACGCCCTCCAAATGGACACCGCCCCCCATTCAGCTGAGGCGCCTCCTCCCCCCTCCTCGGCGTCAACTTACAACCCTCACTACATAAGCAGAACCCTCACGTCATCACATGATCTCTGTAACGCTGTTGTTGAGACATCGAAGTAATAAGGACGTCAGGATGAACAAGGGATTATAACCTTAAAATGAAATAGGTCTGTCACCGCGCCCTTACAAATTGCACACGAATTTATGCAATAAATATGTCACGGTCTGCTTTTCGCTTGCAAGTTTCAGATTTACTGCAATACACCCGTCCTTGGACAGGCAAAAGGATAGTTTGCACGGAGCAACATGGATTGTGGCATCACACGGCCACGAGGCATGGCAAGGACATGGGGAAGCCTTCATCCAGCCATGGATAGATAATGGCTGAGGATGATGAGTAGTTCTAAATCCATTGTTTCCACGGTGCCAGTTGTGAGCAGTAGATGTGTGTAACCTTTAAATAATATTGACAATTGGCAAAAATGTAATAAAGTGTAATTAAGAAAATTTTTGTATTTCCTATTTTGCATATTACCATAAATTAGTACCCTTTGTTAATCCACTGCTGGATGAAGTCCCCCCCCCTCCACCCATGCGGTGTTGGTAATGGTGGTTATTAGACCATACTTCACAAAGCCAGTCAGTACAGATGAAGCCTTAATGCAATGACCAAACTTTTACATGTTTCAGAATGGGTGAACACTATTTTTTACTGACATAAAGGATTTGAAAGAATAAAACTCATAAATGTAACATATTAACACTTGAAATGATCTCTTCATCAAAATTTCAACAGCTGTTAAGCACTTCCCTGCGACAGTTCTCGACACCGCCCAGTTTTAATTCTGGCAGTCATTTATAAATCGCTGTGTGAAAGTGCTTTTTGTAACTTTAACGGTGGTGGTTAAAGGCTCCGTAAAAAATAGATGAATGAGAATGGCTTTAAGTGAAAGTTAGTGGCTCATTGACTTCGATTTTCTTTCACACTCAAGCAAAAGTACTTTCGATGACTGTTGTAGTGTTGAGCAAACAAAAGTTGCTGTGCAAATAGCAGCAGCAAGTCTACTTACAATGTCAACACGTTATGTCACCCTTGCAGAGAGCAGATTAACATTTTAACAAAACAGTTGCGGCTTACTTTAAAAAAAAATAGCAATATTTTTAGATTTAAAGAATATGAAGGCTAATTTAAGCTGCCGCTGATGTTATATGGCTTGCATTGTAGGTAAAAATATAACCGCCGTGTAAAGTTTTAGCAAAGCATGTTTAAACAGGACAGAAAATGAGAAACAATACAAAGAAGACGGAACAAGCAATAATACAACAATTGATTATATCATCAAATTACAACCCCAAGTTATTGCATTTCATTGAATCGCCCTGTGCCTACTCAGTACTACATGCTTGCTTAAAGCAGAGTTACCGAATGTGCTAGTTTTGCCGACAGTCCTCGTTTGGCCAGACAAAGGCCAGGGTCACCTGAGCAGTAGACAGGGTCAGTAGAGGAGGGGTAGGTTCATCGTCAGAAACAGGGAGACCACCAGCTGCGTGGGCAGAACTCGTGCTTAAGTAGTTGTGGGCGGGGCCGATCAAGGGAGGGGCTGTCAGCTCCCCATTTGTACTGCTTGAATCGCCTTGAAATTTGATAGCTTTAACTTGTACTTGGTTTGGAAAAACAACCAAAGGGTAGTGTAGTATTTGATTCAAGAGCGACTGGCGTGTGTACGTGCCTGTGCATGGGTGTGCGTGCTCCTTCGGGGGCACAGCTGGTGCATCTGCCAGTCATCTCAGTCAACCCATGGCACCTAGATCTGTTCCGTGACCTGTCAGCGAGTCTTCGACACTTCACGTGGCCTCACAGTGCACTTGGCCTGGCACAAGCGCCGTAGTGACGTCACCAGCACTCAATGGCGGATGGCAGCTTCATCGGTGCTCGCTAACAGCACTTGCCCCAACAGTCGTATTGAAGGCTATACGGGGGATCTTTGTCTTCGCGCTCCATAGGCATCGGGCAAGAACCTGGATCTGAGCGACGAGCGGCAGCATGGGCTGCTGCTGCATCTCCTTAAACTCACCTACAACTGCCTCAACTTCGACTTTATCGGAGCCTCCAGTGACGAGTCCTTCGAAGACCTGTGCACAGTGCAGATCCCCACCAGCTGGAGATCAGGTGCCGTGAGCCGACACACGAGGGCACGTCGACTGCGCCCCAGGCTTCAAACGAATCGTGCAGAGACCGCTGCTGTGCTAGAATTTAATTGGCCTAATATGAAATCGTTCTAATGCCGTGCGGATTATGGGGGTTATTCGACCATACTTCATGATGATCGGTGCATGTTGGTAAAGGCAGGGAGCATGAGAATACAGTAAAGCAATGGGATTTTCTGCACTGCCATCTGCCCACCACATAGCCCCCCCACAGCCTGTTGGGGATGGTGGTCACCCGTTTAAGAACTATCCAGGACTCAGTCTGATTATTTTATGATATCTAACGTCATTGGCTGCATTGCGGGTGATTTGGTCATAGGCTATGCAGCTTTAATTCTGACTACTTCCTAAATGATATGCATACACATCGCATTGACATACTGAATATGAAAGATTCTCTCTTAATGACATTTTATCTGGTTAATGAAATAGGAACGGATAGCCCCAAAGCTGTTCATCTACTGCTGAAGCCAATACTTACAATTTTGAATTTGTCTTTAATATGAAAGATTCCCAAGAACCGTTTACTCGAATAGAGTAAGCCACTTCAATTATCTCTCAGTGGGAAACTTGTTTAAAATTATAGTTGAGTCTGACTGAGCAAGAGTATTGTTTCAGTTCCACAGGATCTACTTTGAATCATGGTTACACGTCTCTTATTCAAGTGTAGTCATCAGGTTTACATCTCAGACGGGTCATATGCATATTTTTTCCTTCAGTTATGTAAGACCTTGGGTTACAAAGTGAGTATAATTCTTTCTGTTGGAATTCGGAAAGAATCGGGCAGTGCAATCATTATCTTTGTTGATTTGTGGTACGGTTTAAAGTGTGTGATGTAGGAAGGATTGTAGTGCATCTCTGCTGACGACATGTGTGTTTCACCATCAGCCTTCCTGGATGTGGCCACTCTCCAGCTCTTTTTCGATCTGTACTGCTCCCTGCCTCCCACACTGTCACCACTGGTAAGCACCCTGTGGGTGGATTTTTACATCGTCAATGTTCGAATGGTCAATAAATGTATGCTTCTCAGGTGTGTGTGTGTGCGCATGTGTGTCGGAAAGTGCCAAGCAGCTGTAAATTAACCAGCGTGATCTATCACAACTTGAGCATTATACCTGTTTATTTAACCTGCCCTGCGAATTCCTTCTATGGATAGACAGACTTTCTTAACGTAGACATGGTATATATGTATGTATGTAGAACTTATTTCGTGCCGTACGTAGCCAACCTTGCTAATCAGTTGTCTGCGCGTTGAGACGGCTGTTTTCTAAATGTCTGCTTTGGTCTCCTGTTCGCACAGGTGCTGTCCTGCCTGGTGCAAGTGGCATCGGTACGGCGGTCGCTCTTCAACAATACGGAGAGGGCCAAGTTCTTGTCACATCTGGTGGACGGTGTCAAGCGAATCCTCGAGAGCCCACAGGTGAGAGGTGGTTGTGCGGCTCGGAGGTCGATAGCTGAGGTGTCAACGCTGAAGCCCAGGGTTTGAATCCAGGCCGTATCCTTTGATTAAACCGGATTTTCAAGTGGAGCACGTATATGGTCGCAGTCAGGTCTCTGGTGAAAATGTATTTCGGCATTTGACAGCAGTGAAACTGAAAAATATTGTTTTGACTGTTGTGGGACAAACATTACTGCTGGTCGAAGGATGGGATGGAAAGTGCTGTCCCCAACTGTCTGCAACAGAGGCCACTGGAAGGGATCTTGGAGGTAGCTCTGATATTCGCTTACGTGGACCGTTAACAAAAATAGTTGCACTGCTCTCCGAGAGATCTAATTTGATACTCTTGTCTCATGAAATTGGACAAAAAATAAATTAAAATATACTCACTGACCTAATTGCTTTTGAGTTATTTTGTCAACCTTCCATGCATTTGTACATTTAAGTTACATCCCCTGAAAATGCTGTTATCTTATTCTCATATAGGTTCAGTTCACATGTAGGTTTATTTCATATATTTTTCCAACCTACTTTTATTGTTATTATTAACTTTTTTCTCTCTTTATTCCGCAGAGCCTTTCCGATCCAAACAACTACCACGAGTTTTGTCGGCTGCTGGCCAGGCTAAAGAGCAACTACCAGCTGGGCGAGCTGGTGAGAGTGGAGAGCTACCCTGATGTAATCCGCCTGATCGCGAACTTTACCGTTACAAGCCTGCAGGTACCGTACCATGCGCCGTCACGAACCCTTGACTGAAGTGTGGTGGTGCCGCATCTGAATGCCTCCATGGGTTCAAATGTTCCATGCCCGGTGGGATTTATTTTTCGTGAATTGAATTATTTCACCTGGAAAAATCCCTTGAGTTGCAACAACTCGTTTGCCCTGAAAGGTGTCCTCAAGGTGTCATTTGACGCATACGTAGCAAACACAATGATGCCGTGTATATACATGTTTTACATCCAGGTGGATGGATTGCACAGATGTTTTCATTCATGGGGGTTAATAGTAATCTTTGATTTAAGAGATATATTATAATATTTCGATATACATGATCAATCCACTTTTGGATGAAGGCATTCCAAAGCTGCCATCACCTCTCACGATCCTGCAATGTATTACCCAGTGGTTCTAAACACCACCTGCCCCTTCACCCAGCCATCCGACACCATGGCTGGTGAGGTCGTGGTTCACATGTTGTTGGTCATGGGTGGAGCGTTGGCGGGCGGAGGGGATTTGACCATAATTTGCCATGTTGCTCAGTGCAGGTTGGTGAAGGGAGCACATGTTGTCTCACCTCTCACTGAGTACCTGACTGATATTGGCACCTCTATCTAATATAGCTACTTAATTATCCAATAAACTCATGCTTCTCAACTTCAACTAGACAGTTTGTAAGATTGTCGACACAAATTTCATAAATTGCGGAATATTTACATATATAGCCCCATGCTTGACAAAGCTTTAGGTAGTGGGTGCTGCAAGGGCGAGCTATTGCAGCAAAGAAGCAGAAGAGGGCAACATTTCTTTTCGAGCGCCAGAAGAGGGAAGCATGCTGTCTGACAAAAATTGTCATGATTTTATGGCTTGTCCTTTGCTCACGGCAGTAAAGATTGTATTCACAATCGCCGAGACACATGCACTGCTGCAATGTTGAGGGTGCTGCCGAGTGTTTTTTTTTACACGTGAAAATATTACAGCGTGATGTGCATTACACACACTGCAGACCCTTTTATTGGCTAAGCTGCGAGCTGACACTATTCACTTTTTGTTCTGCTGTATATAAAAAAAATCTCAATTGATATTCGAGTGTCTCTAATGCCGATAATGCACTCTGCATCTTTCTATCAGTGTTATCTGCATATTTTTTTAAATTAAAAGATGCATATCCATAGCACAGCCTTGAATGCCAATATTGCATTTTTTCATCTGCAATGATGCATTGGGCTACAATCTAATTGTAAACCGCCCTTCCGTTTTCAGGGATCGCTTAAGCACCATCGGCGCAAGGAATAACGATAATGATCATGCGCACCGTCATATATTAAAAAAATACTTCCACTAACGGCATCGCAATATTGCTCTGGCTAATATCTGTCGTCCCACTGGTGGCTTTCCCCAGCCCTGGCCGCCGCCACAGCCAGAACGCTGCTGCAGGAGACCTCGGCACGCACGTTTGCGAAAGCGCGCCCCGCCCAGGAGTCGCTAACGGCATTAGCCGGGTGCCGAGCCCTCTAATGCTTAGGGACCCTCGGCAGACGCCTGAGTGCCTGTCATGGCCCATACGGCGGTGTCGGATGCAAAAATCTGCCGGCACGAGGTCCCTCTCGCACTATTGATTTTAAAGGCACGGCCAGTTACCGAGTTACACTTGAAGTGTCTGCGCGATCGATATGTCGTTAGGAAGGGGGGATCAACTGAACCTCGGTTTAAAATGCAGTCTGTCTTCAGTGCTTTAATGGGACCTAAGGGGCTATAAGATGAATTTTTTTTGTCATGTACGGTTTGGATATGTAGTTTTAAAATGATGAAACTGAAAAAATGTAAAGCTGAAATGTTATGATTGTTTTGAATTTTTTTTTTCATTTTGAACGATTGTCTTGATTTTACACTGCCTTTTGCAGTGATATATATTTCTAAGAAGTTAATTTAAGAACGGTAAAAAACCCCTCATCTCCTTTTTTAATAGCTGTTTGACCTTGTTGTTTAAGTTATATGAAATATCACTATAAATAGCACATGAAATATGTTCCTTTAATGTGATGGAATTAATTTGAATGTGGAATTTCTATCAGCATTATCGAGCAATTTATTGTTTTGAATGATTTTTAAAATGGACTATTTAAAATGTGAATTTTTAAATGAAACCTGGCAATGCTCCGTTTATAAATGATATGATATTTCATTTTATAAAGAAAACATTGCTTTTATAGTCACTTTTAAATGTGTATGAATTACTACAATAAAGTGACATTTTATTCCCAACTGAAAAACACTCATATGCATAACTTCACATGCGTAAAACTGATTGCTCTGCATTATCACTCTCTGGTGAATGTTTGTCATTCGATCCAAACTGCCTTCCCGGTTTAAATCCCTTATTGAATTTTTTTTCAAAGACAAATTGCACATTTAGCGATTGCTCGGTGTTGTGGTTCGGGTGCTTTCCTCTCGGTAAAAGACTTGCCGCTTCTATGTATGTATGTATGTTGAACTTCGTCTGCACCTTACATAGCCAAGTGTGGTAATCGGGGAAGGACAACAAACTTAACACAAAAAGCAGTTCTAAAGAAATGAGTTTTCAATCTAGATTTAAAAGTGCATTGCTCTAGTGGCCTCCTAATAGCGGAAGGAAGGCCGTTCCAGATGGCCACAGAAGCGCATCTGAAAGCGCGCGATGCGGTAACCATCCTTCGATGGTTATCCGAAGCGGCTACAAGGATGACATTGCCATGCGTGCTGTACCGGAACGAATCCACCTTGCCTCCTGCTTGATCCCACCCCCGTAGCACTGGGCGTTTGCACCAAACAGCGTGCACTACCTGCTGAGCCTGTGGCAACGGCTGGCGGCGTCGGTGCCCTATGTGAAGGCTACGGAGCCACACATGCTGGAGACGTATACGCCAGAGGTCACCAAGGCGTACATCACGTCACGCCTCGAGTCGGTGCACGTCATCCTAAGGTGCTCTTCGTCGTTCTCGCAGTGTTAGTTTTTGTTTTGGATGCTTTCTTGTCAGGTTTGTTGTAAATGTCTTATCCGGAGTCATGTATTTCGTGATAATTTTCGAGCAGTTCGCATCTCCGTGTCTCGGAGAATAACCTGTGGAAAGAGATATGGCAAAACTACTTCCGAGATGTCTTCAGATGACCTTTTTTAGCCACACAACAGGGGAAGGGGACACTGAATTACCCACATGCCCAGCTATTGAGAATTTTCATAGTATGGTAGTTAAAATAATTTTAAAATGATCTGAGCTGAAGTTTTGTCAAAATCCCAAACTTTGGGGTTCAAACCCAGAACCTCAGCAATGCTGGCCCAATGCCGTGACCGCTGAGCCACCTGGCCACTTCAACATTAACACTTGGGATAACCATTTGGCCCGGTGTGTTTAGTTTCCTCACTTTGCCTTTTGCACAATGCTGCGCATATTAAGTGTTTACTAACAGCACTTGTCCAACTTACTTGCCATGAAAATGTGGAATGTTAGTCATAGTTCTTGCATCCGTCCACGTGTGAATGTGTGCTACTGTGCGTGCGTGCGCGCACCAGGGATGGGCTGGAGGACCCGCTGGATGACACGGGGCTGATCATGCAGCAGCTGGAGCAGCTGAGCACTATCGGGCGCTGCGAGTACGAGAAGACCTGTGCGCTGCTGGTGCAGCTCTTCGATCAGTCAGCGCAAGCCTACCAGGAGACGCTTCGCTCCTCCCCTGGCCAGCCCATGGAAATCGCCGTTCAAGAAGGTACTTGCGGGGTATTTTTGTTTCACGCATTATCCTATTTGAGCAATTGGTTTTGCTCATAGCAGGGCCGCAGTCAATTGTAATTAAAGGAACTTTGTTAGTGGATGTTACAAGTACACTAATTACATTTCGGTGCAAATTGCACTTAAACCAAGGTCTGGCTGTTAGGCATAGTACAGAAAGATCACAGTCTAAGCCAAGCAAATGCACTTTACAGTGTGGTTTGTGGGCTTTTCACGTTTGTTTTTCGGGGGGTCAGTTATTGATATGATCCTGGATATAGGTTGTTTGTGTTTTAATGAGCAGGTGCATGAATTTGATATCTTAATGTTTAACATTTTAAAAACTGGTATTGAGCTAAGTTCTTTTGTATGTCACGGGGAGGTTGAACACATCAAAGGTTACTTTGGAGCGTAAATGGAACAATTGGCAAAAAAAGGTCCTGGAACCTAGGCCCTTTTCCCTCTGTTTTCCTTTGTTTACATTTCAAGTGAGTTTTTAACTAGATATGTAACATTTTGATTTAAAGCTTTCGTGACTGCAGGGATTCATATTCTTGCTTCTTTCGGTAAAGTCACATAGAAGGGAAACAATAAAATAATCAAAATATAAAACAATAAACTTCTCACGACGTTTCAACTGCAACACAAGCAATCATCATCAGGTGTGAAAACCACAGCAAGAAAATTTGAAAAAGTGGCGGTTATTTTAAACATTAGCACCACGGAGAGCGATTTGACAGTTTGTTCAGATGGACGAATCCATCTATTTTGATTTAAAGCTTTCGTGACTGCAGTGATTCATATTCATGGTTCTTTCGGTAAAGTCACGTTGAAGGGAAACAATAAAATATATATTGTTGTATAGTCACGTTGAAGGGAAACAAAATAATAAAATATATATTTTAGGTCTGCCATCTACAAACTAAGTTGCCTCTGTGGTAGTAGTGGTAGTAGTTACATTGGAGAAAACAAACGGTACATATCTCGGACCGCATTCGTGAACACAAAGCAGACCTAAAACACGGTAGGACCAACACCTCGGCCGTGGCAGATCACTGTTATAATTGAGTAGGTTCACATGACATTGACTTCTCCAAGACAGGTTCTTTGCAAGCCATCTGGCTACCATGAGAGATTCGTTCATGAGGCTATCCACATATACAAACGCAGAGACAATTTCAACCGAGAAGATGGATTCTGGCTTGGCAATCATTGGAAGGATTTGATAAACCATTTCGGGTCTTAATTGATTGTTCACGCTTATGGTGGCTTTCAGACCGCATCCATTATTTTCGTCTCCCTCCTCCTCTTTTCCGAACATAGATGGATTCGTCCATCTGAACAAACTGTCAAATCGCTCTCCGTGGTGCTAACGTTAAAAATAACCGCCACTTTTTTCAAATTTTCTTGCTGTGGTTTTCACATCTGATGATGATTGCTTGTGTTGCAGTCGAAACGTCGTGAGAATTTTATTGTTTTATATTTGTATTATTTTATTGTTTCCCTTCTACGTGACTTTACCGAAAGAACCAAGAATATCATGGTAAAGGAGTTAGGGGATTTCGCTCACACTCGCAGACAATCGCCTAGTTTATCCTAGCCTAACAATTCTTGAGGTGAGGGGTGTCCTGCAAAATCTTGATAACCGACTTTTTTAAAGCAACCCCCACTTTGGTTTCACTGCTACACTTAACACGAACACACTTAACACTAACGTAACACTAACATAACACTAACAGTGTTAAGTGTGGCAGCATCTTTGCTCCCCACTTAATACTAAGTGTTAAGTTTGGCAGAATCTATGCTCCTCACATCTAGGCCTGCCACACTTAACACGTAATGATGGCTATACAATTGGCCGCACAATTAACGTAACAGTCGCCTCGCTTCATCCACTTTATCAGCCTGCCCTCAACAAAGTTCTACTTACTGGACAATGAGCTCATGTGGATTATCACGTTTTTCCAAGAAACACCCCCCTCAATTTCAACCAATATTTACATCCAAATTTTGTGCTTATGCCAAGTTGTTATATTATCAGGTTAATTTTACACTTATGCTAATGGAATGGCTGAGAAAGACCAAGCGAGATGCCAAATAGGAAAAACAAATTGATTCTTATATTGGATTATGATTCCGAGGGAGTTTAATCATTGCATGCTCAATTTCAACCCTTACATTGATAGATTTGCAATGATCACATCACTGGAATGTACCCAATTTCATAAGATTCCGGAAGCTAAGCAGAGTTGAGTCTGGATAGTGCTTTGATGGGCGACCATCATGCGTTCAACAGGTCTTGTAGGCTGCTGTAGGGTGTCGTTGAGGGGATCAGAGGGCAGTGCGGCAAAATTGCACTGTGCTACGCTCCGACATCTATGCTGCCCACATTCACCAACCCGCAATGACCCGTGTGGTGAAGTGTTGTCAGATTACTATCCATGAGTAATATTCTGCTGGACGAGGGAGACCCTCGTCCAGCAGAATATTGACAAAGGACTATACGGCCGCAGCCACATAACCCAAATGTATCCTGTAACAGCTACAGCCTCTGCCAAATCAACCTATCAATGTATGCGTACATTAATAGATCAATCTTTGTACAAATGCGCCCATTTTATGGATTTTTAGCGTTTAATTTGGTGATTTGTCTGTTTCTTCGACACCTGTTGACAGGCCGCCTGACGTGGCTGGTGTACATGATTGGAGCGGTGATCGGGGGGCGGGTGTCTTTCGCCAGCACGGACGAGCATGATGCCATGGATGGAGAGCTTATTTGTCGGTACGTGCACAGCCTATGCGCCTCGCCGCCACCACATGCCGTTAGAGCAGACTCGCGAGCTTCCAAGGATCGATGATGCCACTGTAGCGAGATATTAACTACCTCGCCTGGTATACAGGCGGTTATGGGTTCGATCCCAACCTTGACGCCTGTATATTTGAAGTTTGCACGTGTCTCCCCGTGGTCGCGTAAATTTTTCTCTGGGTCCTTCGGGTTTTTCCCTCCACATTTAGAAACATGTGTTTTAGAGTATTTGGCTGCTGTAAATTTCCACGTGTTAAGTCACTTCGTTGAGCTATCATATGTGGCCAGGTCGCTTCTGAAAAAGAGCTGTATTGCTCAATATATTTTTAATTTTAATTGATACTCGATCTGATCACGCACTTTTTTCTTTTTGTCACTTTTGTTCATGCGCGATCCCTGTTCACTTTCGGCACAGTAAACTCTCGATTATCCAAGTTGGGATTAACCGTGTTTGCGAAAAAAAAAGTATATTTACATGTGCGTTGGTAGTTTAAATTATCAGCTGCTCCGCATCGAGGTTTAGTGATTTGGTTCACATCTGACCGCAGATGTGTCGGAAAGTAAACCGATTTCTGTAGGAAGAAATAAAAACAGACGGCGCATGGTGCTTTTATCCCTATTCTGTGTAGGAAAATAGTTTAATTTGCAAACGTTTAGCACTATCCTCGCCCAACTACCCTGGGTAATTCAGAGTTGAATGTGTTTATATCAGGCAAGCCCTATTGTCTACCCTGTTGTGACACTTTGCAGGTGATTGTTTTGGGTTGGGCGAATGGTTTAATGACGTTATATCCTTTAGGGGGTGCTGTAGGCCACATTGTTTCTGCGACTATTGGGCAACACTGCTCATCGTGTTTAGTACTTGGGAGAGAGGTTTAGGTTGTTTTTTTATCACTGTCAGATGGTGGAGCATTATAGAGGTTATTTAAATAAAATATTCACATTTACTAACAGAAAATTACATTTGTGCAATATATGGTGACGATTTTGTCAGCTATATATTGATTTCCTCTGTGTACTCTTACAAACGCTTGTTTTAGTAATTTAAGTAAAAAATCCAGATATTGGCGAAACCTACAAAAAACCCCTTAAATACAGTGAGCTGAATAATGTATGAATCCCTGCTAATAACAAGATGGCAGACAAGTATGAATAATGGGAATTCAAGTTTTGCAGTGTGTAGATTATGCTTTTGACAATGCAAAAAAGAATCTAATATGTGTTGGCTGCTGCAGTATTGTGCAGGTGAGCTCTGTGTTTTTGGAGTTGTGGGCTACAGTGCGGGAAAAAAAGTATTTGATCCCCTGCTGATTTTGTACGTTTGCCCACTGACAAAGAAATGATCAGTTTTAATGGTAGGTTTATTTGAACAGTGAGAGACAGAATAACAACAACAAAATCCAGAAAAACGCATGTCAAAAATGTTATGAATTGATTTGCATTTTAATGAGGGAAATAAGTATTTGACCCCTCTGCAAAACATGACTTAGTACTTGGTGGCAAAACCCTTGTTGGCAATCACAGAGGTCAGACGTTTCTTGTAGTTGGCCACCAGGTTGGCACACATGTCAGGAGGGATTTTGTCCCACTCCTCTTTGCAGATCTTCAAGTCATTAAAGTTTCGAGGCTGACGTTTGACAACTCGAACCTTCAGCTCCCTCCACAGATTTTATATGGGATTAAGGTCTGGAGACTGGCTAGGCCACTCCAGGACCTTAATGTGCTTCTTCTTGAGCAACTCCTTTGTTGCCTTGGCCGTGTGTTTTGGGTCATTGTCATGCTGGAATACCCATCCACGACCCATTTTCAATGCCCTGGCTGAGGGAAGGAGGTTCTCACCCAAGATTTGACGGTACATGGCCCCGTCCATCGTCCCTTTGATGCGGTGAAGTTGTCCTGTCCCCTTAGCAGAAAAACACCCCCAAAGCATAATGTTTCACCTTCATGTTTGACGGTGGGGATGGTGGAATGGTGTTCTTGGGGTCATAGGCAGCATTCCTCCTCCTCCAAACACGGCGAGTTGAGTTGATGCCAAAGAGCTCCATTTTGGTCTCATCTGACCACAACACTTTCACCTAGTTGTCCTCTGAATCATTCAGATGTTCATTGGCAAACTTCAGACGGGCATGTATATGTGCTTTCTTGAGCAGGGCGACCTTGGGGGTGCTGCAGGATTTCAGTCCTTCACGGCGTAGTGTGTTACCAATTGTTTTCTTGGTGACTATGGTGCCAGCTGCCTTGAGATCATTGACAAGCTACTCCGCTGTAGTTCTGGGCTGATTCCTCACCGTTCTCATGATCATTGCAACTCCACGAGGTGAGATCTTGCATGGAGCCCCAGGCCGAGGGAGATTGACAGTTCTTTTGTGTTTCTTCCATTTGCGAATAATCGCACCAACTGTTGTCACCTTTGCACCAAGCTGCTTGTCAATGGTCTTGTAGCCCATTCCAGCCTTGTGTAGGTCTACAATCTTGTCCCTGACATCCTTGGAGAGCTCTTTGGTCTTGGCCATGGTGGAGAGTTTGGAATCTGATTTATTGATTGCTTCTGTGGACAGGTGTCTTTTATACAGGTAACAAGCTGAGATTAGGGGCACTCCCTTTAAGAGTGTGCTCCTATCTCAGCTCGTTACCTGTATAAAAGGCACCTGGGAGCCAGAATTCTCTGATTGAGAGGGGGTCAAATACTTATTTCCCTGATTAATGTGCAAATTTATTTCTAGCATTTTTGACATGCGTTTTTCTGGATTTTGTTGTTATTCTGTCTCTCACTGTTCAAATATACCTACCATTAAAATTATAGACTGATCATTTCTTTGTCAGTGGGCAAACATACAAAATCAGCAGGGAATCAAATACTTTTTTTCCTCACTGTACATCCCGTGTTTCATGCAGACTTTTACAGGTACAAAAGTTTTAATATTCTAGCGTTAAAATTCAAGTGGGTACTTTTCGCACAAACGGAGATTGAAATTTGACACGCTTGCTATGTAGGCAGAGACACTGGTAATTTGACCTCCGCGTAGCAGAGACTTTTTGACAGGAATTCTCTGGAAGCGTACAAACAACGCACGGCGATAAACGCAACCTCAGTAAAAGCGTGCGACAAGTGAAAACCATCGCCTTACCTGTAAATAAGCTGTCGGCAATTTAAAACAATTTTAGGACAATTTAATTTAGTAACTGAATTCTATATTACATGCAATTCCGGAATCATATTTATCAAATTAAAATGACTTTCTGCGTATTATGAAAGTGCTTTGAGCGAGCCTTTCATTAATTCAGAGTCTTGCTGCGTTCTGCCGCGGTCTGTTTGTATGTTTTGTTTTTCGGGGTTCCCTTTGGCATATGCGGGCTTGACGACACCTTTTCATCGACTCCTCCTCCCCGTCCCGCTGAGCTCTTGCCTGATTTGTGCGTCCATCACGGCTCTTAGCAGTTTGGCGGTTCTGAAATATGCTGGAGGCTTTTAGCGGCTTCTGTTGACAGAAAGGCCATTATGGATGTGGAATGGGCTGATTTTTAAAGAACTTTCATTTTCCTTGCTGATTCTCCCTGTCAGGAGAATATCAGCCTCCTCCATCCACTGGGCAGTGTATTTTTTTTTGCAGGAGCGATCATTGTTCGTTTTCCTGGTAACAGTCACCACTTTCTCATCTTGGCTATTTTATTGCACCTCATCACTTAATAATGTTTATCAGCTCAATGTTTTGATATATGCCCTGAAGGTTTTCTACGCCAACTGTATCTCGCTTGATGAAATTTCAAAAGCGATATACTCTAGAGAATGTACTTTAAGTGTAAGTTAATGTCACCTCTTACTTTTTTAGATTTGTGGGCAAGTGCTCTGTTGGGAATTAAACTGTATTCCTGCTCGCTCACGTTGCTTTAATAAACAGACTACATTCTGCTTAGAGGGCATGCGGTGAAGTACTCAGGCAAACTGGAAGGCTCCTTTATGCCTTGTTTGTTTCATAAATAATTCCATGGTACATTGGAGCCACACAGTGCAGAGCAAAAATGGCACAGGTCAACATTTACGTGCTACGTGTAACCAAGTTAATTCCTGCTCTTTGAAAACAATATGAGTGCATAGTTTTGATGGTAGATGGTTAGTGCACTGTGCCATAAAATCAGTGACCTAATTTCGATTAGGTGGCGAGTGGTAAATGAGCCGATCCTGGGAACTCCCCCCCCCCCTCTTCACCAACTGTCACTGACTAGAGAGGTGAAGTATGGTAAAAGAAAACCCTGCATCTAGCAGGGAATTGACTGAGGACTGTAAATAATTGTATTATTATTTACATAATTCGGAAATAAATATAATCCTTTAAAATAATATTTTCATATCTTTTTTTTAAGTAGACGAATTTCAATTAATATTCTTTGGTTCTTTGGGCAAAGTCACGTAGATAGAAAAATAATAATTTGAAAAAGTGAATTAAAAATAAAATAAAAATAATAAAAATTATTCAAAAACACTCATGTAGACTGTAGCCTGGTTCTTAATCGGAGTGAGTGTACTGGTAGTCTATAATGTAGACTAGCCTGGTTACTAAGTTTGGTGATTGTACTGGTAGTCTATAATGTAGACTGTAACCTGGTTCTTAACCTCGGTGAGTGTACTGGCAGTCTATAATGTAGACTGTAGCCTGGTTTTTAAGCTGCTGAGCATATTGGCAGTCTGTAATGTAGACTGTAGCAATGGTTATTAAACTGAGTGAGCGTATTGGCAGTCTATAATGTAGACTGTAGCCTGGTTCTTAACCTGAGTGAGCGTACAGGCAGTCTATAATGTAGACTTATTATTGGTTCTTTCAGTAATAAAAATAAAAAAAATATACATGATGTTATTGTAAATTGTCATCCTAAGTGCTTAAAATTTTGACAATGAACCAAAGTTTTTTGTATCACATTTTTATTATGAAATATTTGTTGTTTATACAAGAGTTTTTGAGGTACACGTAGTTGAAAAGCAGGGCTTCTTATTTACGCTCCTGGCCAGGATGACTGCTGCGTCGCAATGCCGAATTTGCATGCGAAATCATTTAAAAGTCAGGAGCTCTTTTGATAATTATTTTGACCTTGTGCCCTGGTGAGAGAATGTGCCCCCGTGGTTGCTCTGTCTGTTTGCATATCACCGACGCTGCTCTCTCCCCACAGGGTGCTGCAGCTCATGAACCTCACGGACTCACGGCTGGCACAGGCTGGCAACGAGAAACTCGAACTAGCCATCCTCAGTTGCTTCGAGCACTTCCGCAAGATTTACATTGGCGACCAGGTCCAGAAGTACTCCAAGGTACCCGCACGTTTGAAAACGAATGAACGCATACATTAATTTGTTCATCGAATCTTTTAAAGCTGTATCCAGTACCACCCCTTGTGTGCCACATGGCGGTCCGCACTGAGGATCGAACCACTGTAATGGACGCGTCACAAACACGCATCCCCACGACGTTTAATATTCTTACAACATTCTGCTGCACAGCCAGACATGTTATATTGCAAACGTGGTGGAGCTTTTCCCCTTGGACTCGATACACAATATCCACTTGTCTTGTGTTTTTGGGTAATTTCATTTTTAGGGACCTTGAAAGACCATCTATGAATCTGTAAAAGTTTCTCAACATGAATAATATAATTTAAAAACTGTATAAATCAATGTGGGAATACAGACCAATGCCTAAAATACGTTTTTAGTTCAGTGTGTGTGTAAAAAAAAAGGTATTGTGATCAAATGTCAGCATCATGCCTTGCTGTGCAAGAATTATTATTTTTTATCTTGAAAGCAGTTTATTTAACTGTATTACTAGCATCTTTAAAAATAGTTCGGACTTTTGTTCCATCGCCCTTCTACATTAAGAAATGTTATTGTGCTTGAAATTCACGGCCAAGAAATATTTGCCTTGATGTGCCCGACTTAAACGACAGCTGCTGTTACTGCGTGTCATCTGAAAACATTCCCACTGGAAGGTGTGCAATTTCATATAATTCCGCTCTTATGCTGTTCTGAATATGCTCCAATTCTTTTTCGATTTAAAGCTTTCGTGACTGCAGGGATTCGTCTTCTTGGTTCTTTCGGTAAAGTCACGTGGAAGGGAAATAATAATAAAATAATAAAACTTAAAACTTCATAATATTAATATTTCCCTTCTACGTGACTTTACCGAAGGAACCAAGAAGATGCTCAATTCTGTTTAGCCGCTTTTAGGCCGTAATTTTCAGCCCGTGGGAAGTTCAATTACCTCCGTCAAGTTTGTCGAGGTGGCGCTATATTATGTTTTGTGGAGGTGTTATAAACACAGAGGGAGTGCTGTTGAGTAAAGAAGGAGTGCTGGCCTGCGTGGTGGCCTGAGAGAGCAAGTCTGAATTTTAACAGGCATCCATCTTCGTTACTGTCAGAGGCGTAACCTGCAGACGGTTAGTGTGTTGTGGTGACGTGCGAATGAGTCCGGGGGGAGGATTTGCCAGTTCTCTTGCCGTATTCTTTTGACTGATAAAGCCCCGGGAACATGCTCGGGCTGTTTTATAAATGCCACACGCTGACTGGCTCCCATTTTCTCGCAAGTGAAGCTCCTGGTGCCGCTGCTCTGATCACTTCACCCGTTAACCCCTTTGTTGTGCCACCAGTCAAATTACTCGGAGCTTTCATTTCGCCTTGTGACCTTGCAACACAATATTGGCCCCTCTCTGAAAAATGACAGCCATTATCGTTGGAGAATTTCATCGTTAGTGGCATCACAATTGAATAAAGTTTAATAACGGTTATATTTGTGCCGTACGTTTTCCGCGTATTTTGTTGGGCAATTTAAGAATGCAATAACGCAGTCGCTTATAATTACATGACATTTTAAATCATGCATTCTTAACAATTGAACTTTGCATGCCGGCTGAAAAATTAGATCCAAAATGTGTGAAGCGAGACCAAGGTATATGAACTTTCGGTGATGGCATATAAAAGTGTGTGAACTTTAGACAAACACAAGCACATTTGTAATGACCTACATATATGCTTGTCCAAGATAAATAATGCTTCTCCTGTAGTCCCGTGCGACTCCTTGCACATGACCTATAGCTTGCCACACATTGCAACAGATTGCCTTTGGCCTTGTAGTCAAATTTGAGTCAAGGTTCAGCTTATGAAATGAGGTATTAACAGTGCATTATATAGTACTTGGTATTATGATACAAACCACAAAAATGGAAAACAATGCATAAGCCATATGCAATTTGTCTTTGCCGAAAATGACAAAAAGCTTTTATTATCTTGTTTTGTATGTGCACAATACATTCTGAGTTCAGAGTTGAGGCTACAGTATTGATTTCGCTGTCAAGTGTGTCTAGACTGCAAAGAATTAATAGGCCTGGGGTTTACAAAGCCTAAAAGCCACGCTTTGCCAACTATTGACCTTTACTTGTAATAAACGGACATGGGAGATGCCATCAAGGTCCTCCTCTGTTTCTTGTAAGCGCTTTTTCTGGTAAGCATCAGCAACAGGAAGTCCATGGTGCTCAGCGTCGGTTTTTTTCTTCCCACCACCCTCTATCCCCCTCTTCTGCCTCCTGCTCTCTCATCATTAGCACTGATGCTATTTTGAGATTTTGGTTCTCCTCACTGTCATGATTGGGGAGGTGGGAGGGGGCAAGGGGGGGGGGGTGGAAATTGATGGAGAGTTGTATGACGGGGCACTCACACCAGGCGGTGCAACTGCACCAGGGCCTACAGGCCAGAGGCGCCTGGCTACGAATGGGGGGGGGGGGGGAATTTGGACAACCTCAGGCCCGATTCCGTTCTGTTCACCAGGACCCATCTCAACGATGCCATGCCACCAGTTTGCTAGTCCTGTTTTAACGAGTCTTCATTAATCCGGGCGCATGGCCATCGCGCGAACTTTCAGGACGATTGGGTGGAAAATATTTTTTGTTCAGACCTTTCACGTGAATACTGAAAATGTTTTGTAGCATTCTGGCCCAATGTGGAGCTTCATAAGGTGCGGTTTGTTTTTGTTTTGGTGAATTGTCAGGAAATAATATATTTTCATTCATCGGAAATAATATATTTTGATTTGATGCCTACGTTACATGCTCAAGAATAAAGTATAATCGATTAATCAATGCATCATTATTAGCTGCCCAGTAAGTGGTGTAGAATGGCAGTAGGGTTTTAGCAGGCCCTTACTCTTAGAGTAAGCGATTAATGGCTCATGATATCTCTACATGGGGCTGCCAGCATTCCTTAATAGTTATAAAAAATGCAGGCGAATTAAAACGACACTGGGTGAAGCATTTTATGTCCTGCTGTGTTAGCCGGTGGGTCTTCCAAGGATGAATAAAGAAAATGTGCAGCTGTACTTAACTTCAGCACATCAATCTGGGAATGACTAAATTGCCTATATCTGCCGCCTGCCTTCTCTGCTCGCGTACTCGTATTCATGATGTCCTCTTGGCAGGTACATTAATTAAAATGAGTACCATTATAGTATCCAAACATTGACAAAGTGGAGCGCTTTCACTACAGGGAAAACCCTTAATAAATAACTTTCCATGCAAAAAATGTATTTAAAAACAAAACTCTATATTTGAAGTGCACATACATTTTATGGGGGGAAAATATTTAATGGCTTAAATTATAGTCATATTCTTTGTTCTCCTTTCCTATTTTTTAAGCAGCTCTGCAGGCATGAATATGCTGACAAATTCATTTAAAGAGTAATGGCAGTGTCTGCCTAAGAGGATGCTGGCTCTTTCGCTGGAGCCAGAAATTCAGTTCAAAGGCTCAGCCAGCGGTTGGAGAGGCTGGCTTTCGTCAGGACTGCCTCAAACTTTTAGCTGCGTGTGTTTATTTTCCTTTGTAAGAAGGCTGTTGATGAATAAGTGATTAAGATTAGGACATCTTAATCACTGTTGCCCATTCACGGAGATCCCATCACAATAGTTAAGGCTTACCAGAAAGTGTGCTGGCACAACGCTGCATTGCACTTACTCAGAGGGTAATGGCGAGTGCAATGCTTTGGGATGTTTTGCTGAGTGTTGGTCATGCAGTTTCCACGACCAACACTGCGCTGCCACCCGGCATAATCCCAGTTTGCTCCCGGGCTCTCCAATGCCTAAATTCGCTGTAATTTCAGCCACATTGCTGTTATTTAGCCCCTGGGAAGGCAAACAAATTAACTGCAGTGTTTATCTGTGCAAAGAAGCAAGTATCCTTCAGTTGCGTCCATCCCTGCGGCCCATGTGGACATGTATTCTCCTCTGAGAATGTTTCAGATTAAATATTCTGCACCATAGTTGTTTTGAGGGAGCGGGCGTGGGTGGGAGAAGGGTGTGATGCATCGAACGGTCCAAGCGTCCACCCCCGCCTCCTTGCGGGATCCTATCGGGGCATGGATTCCTAAGTTGGCCCTTGCGGGATCCTATTGGTGCATGGATTCCTCGGTCGGCCACCAGCCTTGGCAGGCAGGGTAACTAATTGACAATTAAATGGGGATTTAAATGTCGCTGAAAAGGAAGCGTGCGTTTCTCGAAAAGAAACCGTGACGGCACTTGGACGCCCTGGCGCTGCCGCATGGCACCAGCCGTAATAAACCTTACCGTCGTTACATATAATCATTCCACGTGTGCTGGAGGTTTTTGAAAAATTATTACCCTTCCCGTAATTTCCCTTACATATTGAAGTTCTTAGCGAATTTCTTTTGTGTGTGTGCGTCTGGAACCATTAATATTGCATAGTAGGCGACATTTGAAAGGAAATTGTAGATAAGGAATTATGTGTGACCGTTTTGTGTTTTTTTGGGGAAATGGAAGAGGAACAACTGAATACTTGCCACCACTCGCATCCTGAAAGATGATGTTTCCCCCCCACCCGGCAGTCCGAGGTGTTTGAAAGCATTTTAACTTCACGGCCCTCTTCACCCACGCGAGCGCATCCTTTCCCCCCAAAATGTACGCAATTCCCCGTCCCTGTCCACGCTTTATCTTCATTTGCCAGAACCCTGACGGTGTAGATTTATCTTGTGTGTTGGGGAAATTAAACTTTATTATAGCCAACGAAGAAAACAAGGAAAAGGGCAGGGGGGACCGCGCATCTCGAAGGCTTTGCCGCAATTTGGAATTCTATCAAGGCGAGCACTATTTCTTAATATCTGTCCGAAGCTTGCCCTGATTGTGTTTCATAAATCATAATAAATTTTGGGCAGCGGTCGGAGTACGGGCATAATGAGGAATTGATGGTTGGTGCGCTGCGGGGCCGGGGAGCTCCGACCGGCTGTTGTAATAACGCCAGGTTTGCCTTCGGGGTGC